TCCAGTGAAAATGGCAAATAGATGCAAGGGATTAGATCTGATAGAGTGCCTGAAGAACTACAGACAAAGGTTCGTGACATTGTACAGGAGGCTGTGATCAAGACCATCCCCAAGAAAAAGAAATGCAAAAAGGCAAAATGGTTGTCTGAGGAGGTCTTACAAATAGTTGAGAAAAGAAAAGAAGCTAAAGGCAAAAGAAAAGGAAAGATATACCCATTTGAATGCAGAGTTTCAAAGAATAGCAAGGAGAGATAAGAAAGCCTCCCTCTGATCAATGCAAAGAAATAGAGGCAAACAATAGAATGAGAGAGACTAGAGAGTTCTTCAAGAAAATCAGAGATTCCAAGGGAACATTTCATGCAAAATGGGCACAAAAAAGGACAGAAATGGTATGTACTTAACAGAAGCAGAAGATATTAAGAAGAGGTGGCAAGAATACACAGAACTGTACAAAAAAAAATCTTCATGATCCAGATAACCACGATGGTGTGATCACTCACCTAGAGCTAGACATCCTGGAATGTGAAGTCAAGTGGGCCTTAGGAAGCATCACTACGAACAAAGCTAGTAGAGGCGATGGAATTCCAGTTGAGCTATTTCAAATCCCAAAAGATGATGCTGTGAAAGTGCTGTACTCAATATGCCAGCAAATTTGGAAAACTCAGCAGTGGCCACAGGATTGGAAAAGGTCAGTTTTCACTCCAATCCCAAAGAAAGGCAATGCCAAAGAATGTTCAAACTACCACACAATTGCACTCATCTCACATGCTAGCAAAGTAATGCTCAAAATTCTCCAAGCCAGGATTCAACAGCATGTGAACTGAGAACTTCCAGATGTTCAAGTTGGTTTTAGAAAAGACAGAGGAACCAGAGATCAAATTGCCAACATCCATTGGATCATTCAGAAAGCAAGAGAGTTCCAGAAAAACATCTATTTCTGCTTTATTGACTACGCCAAAATCTTTGACTGTGTGGATCACAACAAAATGTGGAAAATTCTTCAAGAGATGGGAATACCACACCACCTTACCCACCTCCTGGGAAATCTGTATGCAGATCAAGAAGCAACAGTTAGAATCGGACATGGAACAGTGGACTGGTTCCAAATTGGGAAAGGAGGATGTCAAGGCTGTATATTGTCACCCTGCTTATTTAACTTTTTGCAGAGTACATCATGTGAAATGCCAAGCTGGATGAAGCACAAGCTGGTATCAAGATTGCTGAGAGAAATATCAGTAATCTCAGATACGCAGATGACATCATCCTTATGAAAGAAAGCGAAGAGGAGCTAAAGAGCCTCTTGATGAAAGTGAAAGAAGAGAGTGAGAAAGCTGGCTTAAAACTCAACATTCAAAAAACTAAGATCATGGCATCCAGTCCTATCACTTTCTGGCAAATAGATGGGAAAACAATAGAAACAGCAAGAAACTTAATTTTCTTGGGCTCCAAAATCACTGCAGATGGCGACTGCAGCCATGAAATTAAAAGACACTTGCTCCTTGAAAGAAAAGCTATAACCAACCTGCTGCTGCTGCTGCTAAGTCGTTTCAGTCGTGTCCGACTCTGTGTGACCCCATAGACGGCAGCCCACCAGGCTCCCCCATCCCTGGGATTCTCCAGGCAAGAACACTGGAGTGGGTTGCCATTTCCTTCTCCTAACCAACCTAGAGAGCATATTAAAAAGCAAAGACATTCCTTTGCTGACAAAGGTCTGTCTAGTCAAAGCTATGGTTTTTCCAGTAGTCACGTATGGATATGAGGGTTGAACCATAAAGAAAGCTGAATACCAAAGAACTGATGCTTTTGAACGGTGGTGTTGGAGAAGACTCATGAGAGTCCCTTGAACTGCAAGGAGATCCAATCTGTTTATCCTCAAGGAAATCAGTCCTTAGTGTTGATTGGAAGGACTGATGCTGAAGCTGAAACTCCAATATTTAGCCACCTGATGTGAAAAACTGACTCATTGGAAAAGACCTTGATGCTGGGAAAGATTGAAAGCGGGAGGAGAAGGGGACAACAGAGGATGAGATGGTTGGATGGCATCACTGATCAATGGACATGAGTTTGAGCAAACTCTGAAAGTTGGTGATGGACAGGGAAGCCTGGCGTACTGCAGTCCATGGGGTTGCAAAGAGCTGAAGAAACCTGAGTGAGTGAACTGACCTGAACTGATCCACAAATTCCCATCCGTCATCAGATGGTGAGCACTGGGTGTTGATGCCCCACCCAGGCATGATCCAGACTCTCTCCTCCCGCTAGGAGGTCTAAGGCCAAGTCACAGGTGCCTGAAGTAGAAAGAGATCCTTTAGTGTAAAAAACATTGAAGGCCAAGGGAATATCTGTGGGGCACCAACAGCTCTGTTGCACTATATTAATAGTCTACAGAGTTTTATTCAGGTCATTGTGCATAATGGCTAAACATGTATGTGCTCCTGTGGATTGCAGCCTGCCATGCTCCTCTATCAGTCAGATTCTCCAGGCGAAAAGAGTGGGGTAGGGTGCTGTTTCCTCCTCCAGGGAATCTTCCTGACCTAGGAATCAAACCTGCATCCCCCTCATTGTCAGATGGATTCTATACTGCTAGTGTCCCCTCAGAAGCCACAAACACTATCAACAACCTAAATATACTTTAGAGGGGATTGGCTAAGGATATTTTCTGAATAACCTTATGACAATGAGATATAATTTCTGTCACGCTTTTCCTGAGACATAAAACCAGGAGTCCTTAACCTGGTCTGGAGGGTCAGAGAAGTCCTCCTTAGTTAGGTGACAGTAGCCACTTGTGTGTTGTAGGGAGGAAATGCTCTGGGAAGCCAGTCAAGCTGAGGCGATGGCATTGCTAAAGCCCTGAGGAAAGAAAATGCTTGGAGCTCTATTTAAATGGGGGCGGATTAGAGAGCCAGGGTCAACTGGCTTCCTGAAGCTCATCTGGAGGCAAAGGCCAGAGGCGGTGGGACCTCACAGGATCAGGGACTTGATGCTGGGTCAGTGGGAAGCCAGGGAAGGGTTTAAGTTTCTGCAGTAGGTGTTCGGCAAGATGGCTCCACCCGCAGAATAGAGAGTGGGAACCTATACTATGCGGCTCAGCTTCTAAGTTCTTTGGCTCAATGAAGAATGTGAGGCTGTCGAGTGTATATTCCAAGGTCTCTGACAGGCTGATTATTGTATTTAAACAAGAAAATGATATATTAATTTCACATTATCAGAGATACTTGCCATTTTTATCACCTAAAAAGGACTTTGTTAATGTAAAATTTTAACCAAGAGCTTTGCACATAGAAAAGACTTCATCAGTACTGGAGTTTTTAAAAAGTAATATTCAATATATTAAGATGACAACTGAAGAAACTTCTTTCAAAAACTGTCTTTGAACTTAGAATAATTTCAATTATTTTATTTATATATCAAGAAAATGTCAAAAATTGCCTAATGAATATTCAATCAACTTCACTTGAGTAAACAAATCTTCATCAAACAATTATAGTTAGTTAATTGCATTTCTTTAAACTTTTAAACTGCATTTGTAAATTTAATACATTCCATTTTATTTTAAACACTTTAAATGCTTGACCTTATAAGCAAAACCTTTCCAAGCTCTGAGTTCTCTTAAATATTGCAACAATATTTATGAATAGTCAGATTATTTTATAAGTCAAAAATAAACCACATATTTTTGTTTGAAAACCATATGGTTATGTCTCAGATTCTGTAAAATGCTAAATTCTCTAAAATTGCAAATAGTAGTTTTTAAAAATGAATTACCTAAATTGATATAATATTCAATTTATTTAAATAAAACGCCTCATTTAAAAACAATGAGAATTATTTAGGCATATCATAAAAGGTGTAGAATGGATTATCTGAGGCATTGTGTTATAATTCTGGTTCAGAGGCATATGTTCTTAGAGAAGGTTAAAGTTGTTAAGGCCTTGGATTTGTAGCAGGGAGAGTAAAGATATATCAAGGATGGTGAAAACAAGACCATGTAAATGTCTTACAATCAGAATTTCTCTTTGATTTAAAATGAAAGGAGTAAACAGAAGCATATGGAAACTCTGGCTCCTCCAAGATCATAGGGCAGTTGGTTTTTCTGTATTAATCTGTAAATGTCAAAACAATTTTAAAAATGCACATAGTTACTCGTGTTTGTAATAGAATTTTCTCTGAAATGTTCTGGATGGTGAAGAACATAGGAGGTCAGGAGTCCAAAATAGAGCGCATTCATAGACTTTTTGCAAAAGGTTAAACATTTTTCAACAGAAAGGAAATGAAACAAATCCTCTGAGAAAATGACACATTTTAGAGCTAGAGTGTTATTATATTGTTAATGAGATCAAGGTGTCTCTCAAGTCTCTATCAGCTATGTCAAAATATTTCACATATTGAATGAAGGTGATTGGGAAATAATGGCTATAAATTTACTGAGCTACATTTAAATATTCATGTTTTCTTTTATGTCTGTATTTCCATTTCATTCTTTCTTTTTAGAGATTCATTTCTTTGTTTAAAATATTTATCTTTCATTCTGTTCATCAAATAATTTAAATATATTTACAGTAGTTATATTGAAGTTCTTCCATCTTAATTCAATATCTGGATCATCTATAGATTTGTTTCTATTTTCTTTTGACTTTTTCCCCCTTGATTTTAGATCACATTGCCCCGCTTCTTCTCAAGTCTTTTAATTTTTAATTGACGTCATCCAGACAATGTTTTAAAAGACCATAGATACTGGAGTACATATTACCTCCTCTCCCCTAGAAGACATGCCCTTTCTTCTGTTAGGCATGAAGGACAAGGACCTGATCACTTTGGTCCAAACAATAGTTGAGGCGGTCCAGACAGTTTGCATCTTTAATTAGCTTTGTTCCATTTCTGATTTCAAACGTCTTGAGGGAAAGCTGGATTGTATGGCAATTAGAAGACTCTTTTCAAGTAGTATGTTTTGACCTCTGTACCACGAGATCTTGCCTTTGTCATCTAGTCCAGCCTTAGGTTTCATGCCTTACCACATAGTCAGCAAAAATCCCGCTGCTGGGTCTTCTTGTCTTTCACGATCCAGTGTGTGGTGGCAGAGGCACCTTGAGCTGCTATACCCAGCAAGGCTGAAAGCTGAGGAAGGCAACCTGGGGCCAGAGGAAGGTGGTGGCTTGTACTGGCTGCAAATTCATACTACTGCACTATCTTGCTCCCTTCTCTCTCAAATAAATACCAAACATGTACAGATACTATCGCCGGTGAGCATCACTGACTCAGTGGACATTAATTTGAGCAAACTCTGGGAGATAGTAGAAGACAGAGGAGCCTGGTGTGCTACAGTCCATGGGGTTGCAAAGAGTCAGATATGACTTAGTAACTGAAAAACAAGTATACAGATTATTCCAAAACGGTTTAATTTACTTCATTGTATCTATGTTTACCAACTGAAGGAAACTGGGGCTACCAGTTCAGCAGGATGAGATTGTTTATGGACCAGAGATTTTGTGTCGTATCTTGGACTGCATCTACCCAGAGTCGTTATTCTTAAACCATTAAGGACCACATTGAACTCTTTGAAAATGATATGATAAATTGAATCACTGCTCCTCATGCTTCATGAACTTTCTGTATTACAATTCTACATCCACACACTTATCATATAATTTTTCAGTGTCTCCTACTAGAGGAGGCAGAGGACATCTCCCCTCACCCCAACCTATGATGTACTTGGCCTTGTAACTTGGTTTGGTCAATGAGATGTAGGCCAAAATGACAAGTGTGCCAGTTGCAGGCCAAGATCTCAAGAGGCATCTTATGTTTCAGCTTACTCTCCTGGACTGCGGTGACCCTCCGTGAGAAGAACATGTTCCAGGTAGCCACTGGTCCAAGGAGAATGAGGAAATATGTGGCATAGGCTTGAATCCAACCAGAAGCCTGGAATCAAGCCTGATTCCTGTCAAGCCTGGCAGAGCCACATCCAACCCATAGATCAGAGAGAAAGGAAATAAATATTTGCAGCTAAAAGCCTCTCAAAGTTTAACGTTGACTGATATGCAGCAAAAACTTTTTCAAGCCAATGATTAGTATTAAACAATTTTTTTAAAGTTTATGATGATTTGGCTCTGTGAAATTTTCTGATTTGTCTTAGGTTTCTTTGTTTGAGTGATCAGGTATCTCATTTATTTGCTGTGTGATTGAATTGACATTATTTTCAGATTTTTGTTTGTCTATGTCCATGGTTATGATGATCATTCTAATAACAGATGCAAAGTAACTGATTCTGAGAACAGATGTAAAGTAACTGCAGTTATCAGGATGTTTAGATTTCATGTATTTAATTCTGAAGCAGCTTAATAAGACTGTGCATTTGAATAAAAGATTTTTAACTGTTTTATGTCTTTCCCATTGTTAAAAAAACAGAGTTTTTAGGGGCTTCCATGGTGGTCTGGCAGTTAAGACTCTATGCTTGCACTGTAGAGGGTGTGGGTTCATTCCTTGGTGGAGGGAATTAATACCCACATGACGTAGCCCTCCCATCAAAAAAAAATTATAGAAGAAAAAAAACTTTTAGAATAATGGTTTTATCTCAGAATAAAAAGACACTATATATAATTCATTAAGCATCTTCCAGGACTTATGGAAAGTATATATACATATCATCATTTTCTTTAAAAAGAAATGCAATTTTTTTCATTAGTTAATACTTTAATAAGGTGGAAAGTTCCAAAGGCAAAAAAGAGAATGAAGTGAAAAGATTTCTTCTTACTCTATTTCCCACATTGCCCTGTCCAAGGACAATTAATGTTACCCATTTCTCTGGTATATTCTTCCAGTGATATTATTTGCACTTTCAAACATGTACATCATTATGTGTGTATATTGTGTTTCCCTGATTTTTAAAAACCAATGTAGTATTAACATATTATTACAGGATTCTGTATCTTGCTTTTATTTATTTTTTTTCACTTTACAATGTATGTTAGAGAATATTCTGTAGCAACACATAAAGAGATTTCTCTTTCTTTTATGTAAGTCACATAATAATTCCAATCTACTGGTTCTCAAACTGAGGGGTCTTGAGGCCAGAATTATTTTCATAATATTAAGATATTATTTTCCTTTTTCAGTCTTTCACTAGAGTACTGGCGTTTTCCAGTGTCTACATGTCCTGTGTTATTGCGACAGAATGAATGCAGAAGCAAACCTAAAAATCCAGCTGTCTTGCACTTTTTTTTTTTACTTAGATGACATATTTATTCAGCTGTCTTGTATTAAGCCAGACATTAAAGAGATTTGCTAAAAATATAAACCATGCTACCTTTCTTACTGACTTTTTGAGTGTGTTTGGAAAATATAATTAAAAAAAAAAAACGTTTTTAGCAAACGCACAGACTTAGAGAATGAACTTCTGGTTACCATGGGGGAAAGAGTAGGAGGAAGGGATAGTTTTAGGGCGTTTGGGACTGCCATGTACACACTGCTATATTTATAATGGCTAACCAGCAAGGACCTACTGTATAACACAGGGTACTCTGCTCAATATAATGTGATAACCTAAATAGGAAAAGAATTTGAAAAGAAGTGGATGTATGTATATGTATAACTGAATCACTTTGTTGTAAACCGGAGACTATCACAACATTGTTTATCAACTGTACTCCGATATAAAATAAAAAGAAAAATATTATATTAATGTATAATGGAAAATAATCTGAGAAAGAATATATATTCATACATATATAGCTGAATCACTTTGCTGTACATGTGAAACTAACACATCATTGTAAATCAAGTATACTTCAATAATAATAAATTTTTTAAAAAAGAAAAAAAATGTGTTTAGGGAATTTCCTGGTGGTCTAGTTGTTGAAACTCCATGCTTCCACTGCAGGGGGACCCAGGTTCCATCCCTGGTTGGGAAACTGAAATCCCACAAGCTGTGCTTGTGGTGTGGCCAAAAAGAATTTGAATTTTTTAAAAATATATTTTTAGATTACATATAAAGGGTTTATTATTGTTATATTAAATGAATAAATATTTTTATGTCTAATTTCTAAAATGATAAATGTTAGTATATGTACTCTATATAAACTAAAGATATTTGGGGTCCTCAAAAAATTCCAAGAGTGTAATATGATCTTGAGATTAAAAAGTTTGACAACTGCTCTTCTATTGCACAGATGTATGGGCTTTCCTTGTGGCTCAGCTGGTAAAGAATCCACCTGCAATGCGGGAGACCTGGATTTGATCCTTGGGTTGGGAAGATCCCCTGGAGAAGGGAAAGTCTACCCACGCCAGTATTATGGCCTGGAGAATTCCATAGACTGTATATTCCATGGGGTTGCAAAGAGTTGGACACAACTGAGCAACTTTCACTTCACCATATTTTAGTCTGTCCCATGACAGTGGACATTTCAATCGTTTTCAATGTGTTGCTACTTCAAGCTACGCTGTAATGAATAACCTCCTGCTGCGTGTCTGCTCAACTGCTTCAGTCGTGTCCGACTCTTTGCGGCCACCAGGCTCCTCTGTCCACGGGATCCTCCAGGCAAGAATACTAGAGGGGGTTGCCATGCCCTCTTTCAGGGGATCTTCCCCACACAGGCATCGAATCTGAGTCTCCTGCGTCTCTTGCATTGCAAGTGGATTCTTTACCCACCAAACCACCTGGGAAGCTTGAATAGCCTTCTACACACTTTATTTCCCAAGTGTGAGTAAACTGGTCATGTGTGGAATTAGAAGTGAGATTTCTGGGTCAATGTACCAGGACAAAGTCCACAATAATATCTATCATCTCATTCCATCCTTGTAATTACCTTATAAGGTAAGACTTGTCAATAATTCCCTTTTACAAATGAGAAACCAGAAGTTCAAAGATGTTAGATAATTTTTTTTAGAGTCATTGGGTTAAGAAACTGGTACAGGGAAAGGAGTGAAACTATTTTATCAGCCTTCATGCTTTGAACCACTATTCTGAGTTATGGTTTCTCTATGCAGTACCTATACACACTCCTTCAGTTTGATTCACTTACCTGGTAACAGGCTCTGTTCTTGCCTTAACCCAACTTATTTCCTGGCACAGAACAGTCCTGAAATTAGATGAACTGGCTTCTCAGAGCAGAAACACCACCAGAAAATGATTTAGATGCTAAGAAGAACAGGGCTATTTATTTTGACTCACAAGACTTTCCGCCACAAGGTAATCTGGGAAATGAGTTTTAGAATGTGATGCAGTTAAAACTAAAGCACATAATTCCTTTTTAAAATCCATATTTATTTATTTATGGCTGTGCTGAGTCTTCATTGACGTGCGAAGGCTTTCTCTAGTTACGGGCAGAGCAGGGGTTACTCTAGTTGCGGTGCGCAGGCTTCTCATTGCGGTAGCTTTTCTTGTTGGGAAGCAAGGGCTGTAGGTGTGTGGGATACTGAAATTGCAGCTCGAGGGCTCTAAATTGCAGGTTCAGTACTTGTGGCCCACGGGCTTAGTTGCTCCTTGGCATGGGGGGGTCTTCCGAGATCAGGATTGAATCTGTGTCTCCTGAATGGGCAGGCAGATTCTTAACCACTGGACAACCAAGGAAGTCCTAATTCACATAATTCTCAGAGTAAACTTTATAACCAAAACTATACGTCAAAATTACATTATGTATATCTACTTTCCACCCCATGAAACTTATACTGTAGTTACCTTTGTTTAAGCAGCATCACTTTTTTTTTCTTAAATACACAAAAAAGCCAACCCTAAGAGTTTTGAAAGAAATAAATCATTTTGATTATTTATAAATACATTTGAAAATACAAATAAATACATTAAAAAGAAATGTAATAATTTTTTTTTAACCAGACCTGGAACTCCCAGAATTATCTTTTGATACAAAAAATCTGGCCACTCCCCAATAAAAATCCTTCAGTGGACTCCCATTTCTTATACTTCAAAGCTCATAAAAGGCCATTTGCAATTGCTCTTACCTCATAAATTCTCCTACACACATATATTTGATCTGTTTTAAAATAGTTGCAGATCTCAGAGATTTATTTCCTTGTTTGAACAGGTTACTTCAAATAGGTTGGACATACAGTGAAACCAGCAAAACCTCACTTAACATAGGCCATAAAACTTTGTGTAATATTGCGCTCTTTTTCTCTGAGAAGGTCTTCCAAATTGTGTATGCATTGGGGACCCACAAAACCTGGATTTACCTGTCTTTTTGCTAGGAATGCCCTTTCTTCCTTAATCTCATGCCTTTGAAAACTGTCAACTGTTAACAAATCAGGGAGGGCTTACCTGACCACTCCAGTCTGATATACATGATTCTTTCACATTCACAGTTTATGTTGCTATCTTGTCACACTGTATGGTATGACTCTTGTCACATTGTAATTGTTGGTTTAATTGCTTATCTCACTCAGCAGACTATGACTCTCTTTCTCTCTCTGTTTCCTTTCTCTATATATATAAAATATAGACTACATATATACAATGTGGCTTCCCAGGTGGTGCTAGTAGTAGAGAATCTGCCTGCCAATGCAGGAGACATAAGAGATGAGGGTTCGATCCTTGCGGAGGGGGAAATGGCACTCCACTCCAGTACTTTTGCCTGGAGAATCCCATGGACAGAGGAGCCTGGTGGGCTACAGTCTATATGGTTCCAACCAGTGGGCCGCAAATGAGCATGAGCACATATACAATGTAACTATCTCCATGAAAGCAGCGGCCATGTTGAGTAGACTAATTAAAAAATCAACAACTTTTTAGCAAGAAAATCTAGCTACCTATAATCTGGTATGAAATAACATTTTGGAGGTTTTCTGTTAGTATATATTTGCTGCATATTCTTGTGCTTTTTTCAAGCATAATTGGAAAGAAATGCTGAATGGTTAAAATAAATACATGGGAGTAAAACTTAAATTGAGAAATTATTTCATCATATTTTTCTGCAAACAAGTAAAAAGATTGTTAAAAGTAGGGCTGTTGGCAAAACTTCTAAGGCCCCAAACTATGAACTGATTTTTGGAACATGGTGATTACATCATTCGAATTGTCAGCCTCTTCCCCCTGATTATCTCTCAACTCCATAACATCAAGTCCAGCCTCTAGCCTAGATTCTCAACTGACCTTGTATTTGCCTATTTCAGCTAGTGGAATAAAACAGTGGACAAGCAAGGAGAAACTGAAATCAGAAAGTTTGGGTCTGTCAACAAGTATTCTTTGAATATTTACTATACGCCAGTTTTAGAACTTCATTTAGAAATGATACTAACATTGCTTTATTCTTGAGACCTATATTTCTAAGCCATAAACTTTAAAAACAAATACTTTGAGTTACATAGCTTTAGGTCTGCTCATGAAAGAATGTCCATTATACTTTGAAAAGTAATGGACCCATTTTTGTAAAGATCAAATATAACAGGCTGAACATATGTTTATGCATATGTTCATTGAAAAAGGCATGGAAAATACATTATATACTGAACAGTAATTATCTTGTGGCCAAGGGCAGAAAGTGGAACTTTCTTTCATTTTTTAAATATTTATTTATTTAATTATTTGGCCACACCAGGTCTTAATCACACCACTCAGGATCTCCTATCTTAGTTTCATCATTCAAGATCTTTAGTTGCAGCATTCAGGCTCTTAGCTGTGTCATGTGGGAATCTAGTTTTCTGACCAGGGATTGCACCCTAGCCTCCTGCCTTGGGAGTGTGGAGTCTTAGCCATCAGACCATCAAGGGAGTCCCTCATTTTTAATTTATATATTTGTACTTGAATTCTTAAGAATAAGCATGCATTACTTTTGTGATTGTAAAATGTCAAAATAACAAAGAACATTTAAGTGGATACAAATTTTCTTCATGTTTTGAGCAGTCATGTGATAAGTTGCTTCAGTCACATCTGACTCTTTGTGGCCCTATGGACTATAGCCTGCCCAGGCTCCTCTCTCCATGGGATTCTCCAGCCAAGAATACTGGAGTGAGTTGCCATGCCCTTCTCCAGGGGATCTTCTGATGCAAGGATCAAATCCTCATCTCCTGTATCTCCTGTATTGCAGGCAGATTCTTTACTACTGAGCCACTGGGGAAGCCCTTGAGCAATCATATATATATATACACATATATAATATGTAAATATTTTACATATATACATACACATGGGGTTTTCCTGGTGGCTCAGACAGTATAGAAATCTGCCTGCAATGTAGGAGACCTGGGTTTGATCCCTGGGTTGGGAAGATTCCCTGGAGAAGGGAATGGCTACCTACTCCAGGATTCTTGTCTGTAGAATCCTATGGACAGAGGTGCCTGGTAGACTACAGTCCATGGGGTTGCAAAGAGTTGGACGTGACTGAGCAACTAACACACACACACATACATATACTCACATATATATATACTGTAAATATTATTCCTGCATATTATTTATACAAACTGGATTCACATGTTAAAGATAATATTTCACCTGCTGGAAGTGCTGGTTAATTATCTGTTTATAAAGGGGTTGCTTTTTAATTCTTATTCCCTTATTTCCTTTTGACTTTCTATGTTTAGTCTGATGACATACATCAGATGTGTCGTGTGTCACATACATGTGTCACATACATGTGATGTCTGATACACATTTTAGTCTGATGACATCATTTACAACAAAAAGTTACCTGATTTCCTAAGAGGTTTTTTTGGGGAAGAGTTAAGTCCTCTTATAAACACTGTGAACCAAGGGAGGAGTATAATTATTTTCCTCAAAAAAAAAAAAAAGAAAAGAAATAATAACCAGTTGGTTTGATTTTTTATAATAGCTCTGGGATACCCACTGTTTCTTGGTCAGATGTAGTACTTTTTCCATTTTATTCCATGAGATTATAATTGGGCTGTAAATATCATGAGGGCCAGGCCCAGCACCTATCATGGTCATCAATGCACCTAGCATAGAGATGGCCTTAATGTAGGTGCAGAGCGCATTAAAAGAACTGGCCTTGAATCTGTCATGGGAGACGTTTCATGCATTCATTTGTATATTTAAAAATACTGATGATCTAGTTCGTGGAGTATATAAAGTAAAAGTGTATTCCTGTAAAGGAGATAATTCAAATACGATTGTACAACGCTCTAGAGTTTACCCCGTCTTTTGTGGGTACATAGATTTGCTGATTTATATGCTAAGCATATAGTTTAGTCTCTGTGTAGCTTCGGAGGGAAACAATAGAAGCCAAATCAGAGCTATGAACACTCTTTTAAAAGTTCACTTGGTTGTTAAGATGATATAAAAAAATAAGGAAAGACAAGGTATTTTCTGTAACTAAAAGTTCAGTAACTAAGTTCAGCTTTAAAATTACAAGGAAAACTACTAGAAGGGCTGTTTTACTGCAGACATGTCCCTTGAGAAAAGAGGAACTTTGACAGTTTCTCAATTTTAACTCTATTATAACTAAGTGTCATCACTAACAATGGTATTGATATCCATAGATACTTATTCAACAATATTTAGTAGCTTCAAATAACAAAAGATAAGTTCTCCTCCCTAGGCTTTCATTCATTTGTGGTATCACGTTAGGAAGAAATGAAAAACACCTGTCAAAACGATCTTGTACACTTTAAATATGTGCTATTATGCATCAATAAATCTTAATCAAGCTGCTTCAAAACGAAACAAAAAGAAACAAAAATGTTACTTTACATAGGACAAATGAAGGAATTACTTCATTTATTTAAGAGCGGTTTCTTCCTGGGAACAACAAAGAACCTCTGCAGAGCCTAGTAGCCTGAGGACAATGCACATTTTATGTAATTAATACCTATTTTTTTCCCAGTCTACATTTAGATTACTATCTCGACTCAACGAAAACAAAACAAAAACCACCATTTAGTTTATTGTGTTCTGTGGCAGCTCCTCCGCACTTGAATGCTCTGTGTTTTGCGTCACTTCCAGTCTCCAAATAGGATTTTATAAGCCTGGGAAAAGATCCTTGCAAGTATATATGTAGTATTTCTTAGGTGACCCAAACTGCGAACCCTAGGGGTGTTTCGAAGGAGCTATCGGCTCGGGGCTGGGTGAGGCTGTGGTGAGATACCTTTCCTAGAACTCAGGACGGGCTTCCCAAATATCTCCACATGCCTCAGAAAAGCCTTCCTCTCTCTCTCTCTCACACACATGCCTTCTAAATAAAGGGCTTCAACTCTAGACAGCCAGTTAAGGTGTTTCTTGTCTGTGGCAGTGGAAAGCGGCGCGCCAGAGCCGACTCTAGGGGCTCTTCCCGAGCTTCCGGGTGAAGCCGGCGCTTCCCTCCGGCCCTCGGTTCCGGGAGGGGACCGTCGGCCGCGACAGCGGGGCCCGCCCAGGCTCTCGGGAGCACCTGAGTCGCCAAGACGCGCCGGGAGTAGGCGGGGCGGGCCAAACACCTCCTCCCGGTTCAGCCCGGACTTTCCGCCGCGGCAGCCGGGCTGCCGGAAGGGCTGATGATTGACAGAGCGCCTCAGCCGCCCGGGCGACGCGGAGGGAGGGCCGAAGAGCCGGCCGCTTGAGCGCTCGCCTTAAACCGGTTGGGTTGGGCCTCGGGAACAGCCTCCCCCGGGCCCACAGGCCTCCCTGAATGGGTTGTTATGGCAACAAATGACCGAACAGTCCCTTACGAATCGGCCAATGAGAGGGGCCGTCTTTTCCACCCCACTTCTGAGAAATAGGTGTTGCGAAAGCCCGGGTAGGACCCGGAGAAGAAGGTGGTGCCAGGACGTTCAGCGGAAGGGCCGGGGGTGGGGATTGTGACGTTGCAGGGCGAGCCAATCGCGTCTTGTGTTATCAACGGCCCCGCCCTTTTACCGCACGTTTCCCCTCCCCTAGCTCATTTCGCACGACGCAGCGGTTGGGAACACAGACATTTTCGGAGCTGGAGCCGCCACTGCAGCCGCCATTTTGTGTCTGTGGAGAAAGAAGACTCTGTGGCGGCTGGAAGTGGACGGAGATCACCTGTGAGACGGCGGCGTTTCATACCCGAGGTTCCCCCTGTGTCGTCCCCCAACCCCCCTCCGCGGTCAGCATGTGGTGAAGCCGGAGCCGCGAGAGACCCGGGGAGAGGAAGAGAGGAGTCGGAAGGGAGGCGGGGTATCCAGAGCGGCTTCAGCTTCAGCTGCGGCGGACCTCGGAGGGGGGCCGCGGCGCAATGTCAGAGCAGACGCCGGCCGAGGCCGGTACTGCGGGGGCCCGGGAGGACGCCTGTCGGGATTATCAGTCATCACTCGAAGACCTGACCTTCAATAGCAAACCGCACATCAATATGCTGACCATTCTAGCCGAGGAGAACCTGCCCTTCGCCAAGGAGATCGTCTCTCTCATCGAGGCCCAAACCGCCAAGGTTTTTATACACCCCGCAGCCTCCTATTCTTCTAATACTCCCTGATTTTAGTGTCAGCCTCATCCCAGGTCTCGCTTCCATCCGAAGGGGGACGGTGTTCCTCCTCTCCAACCCTCCCCCCCTCCAACTCAGGCGCTCGGTCTTTGGCCCAGGCTTCGAGCATGGGCCTCTCTCGGGGGGGTGGGAGTGGGGAGGATCAAGGGTGGAGTCCCACTTCCGCTCCCCAGCTCCCTATTTAGGCCACTGCCTTGTGTATCCCGACACACACGCGCTCCTTTGGGGAGGGGGAGACTGGAAGGCAGTTCGTGGTGTGGGGAAGTAAGAGTTAAAGCCTTTTGAAGTGTCCCCCCGCCCCGGGAAGGTGGGGAGTGATTCTTCCCCCGTCCCCTCCGCCCCGCCCGTCCCCGTCCCCGTCCCCGAGCCCTTTTGGGTAATTGTGCTCTGTGGGTTGGAAGGAGGTGAAGGGGGACCTGGGAGCGAGCTGTTGGGGGGTGGGAATAGGGGCTTTGGCCCCGAGTGGAGCAGCCGCCTGTTAGGAGCCCAACATGGCGCCTGGAAAGCACATGATGCGAAAGGGAAGAGAGGAGAATCCATTCTCTGCCAGCCAGGCAGCTGCTCACACCCGTCATCCCCATTTTGGGGTGGGGGCGGCTAGATAGAACTTGTGTACATTTTCCTGTCGGAAGGTCTCATTTGTCCCCAAATCCGGGAAAATTGGGGTCGAGGGTGGGGTTGGAGAGGGTGGGGAGGAGATCTTATCCAACCTGTAGGTGGAGAACTGGCCCACTGGGTAACAAGTACTTGTAGTTCTTTCTTTTTTTTTTTGAAAAGTTCAGTCCCTCCTCTTCCTTTCCTCCTTTTTCCCCCCTCCCTTCCTTCCCTGAGAGTGAAGACGTTCTTTGCTTCACCCCTTGACAGTAGTGGTCCTCTGCCACCCTGTATTTCCCTATAGTTCTCCTCTTCTGTGGATTCATGTGGGAGCGATGTGTCATTTAAGTCAACTTACTGTTCAACTTCGTTATCGTAATGAGTTTTAAAAGCTTCCCAGTACTACGTTTTAAGTTATTTTTGAAGCTTGTACTTAAGGTTTAGTTTTTTTCTAGTTAGTGATTGAAATGATCAGGATCAGCCTCCTTGTAGCAGAGTGAACCCCTTTTAAAAGGCCACTTTAACAACAACCACCAATATATTGTTTAGAGGCGGTTTCTGTCTAGTGTAAAACTGAGTGGTCTGACTTTAATAAATGGTTTTGAAATGTGTGACTGATATTATAAAATTTGTGAATAAAACATATGAAATATGTATTTGTCTTTTTTATTTACCTTTGTAAGGTGTAGAATTTGTTTCCAAGACTTATTTTTATCTACGTGGTTGTGTGTTTTAAACAAAGTCTTTAAGTGACTTGGGTTCATTCTTATAGGTTCTGTCCACTCTTTTGGGTAAATGTGTTCACAAGATACACGGTTTCAGGCGGTGTATCCCTTACTGACAAAAAGTAAGGGTTTTTATTTTTTAAGCCCCAACAAGTTTGTCATGCTCAGTCTGACAGCTAAAATACGAGTCCCTATTCACCTTTTCCTGTGAATGTCTGTGTGAAACAGCTATTGTTCTTTTTTGAAAGTATGAGATTTTAAAAGGAAGCATTCCTCATATTCAACATCCTTTTTATTGATACCACAAACATGTTGGACATGAAAACTTAAGTTTTTGCCTTGTTGAAGGCTTAACATTAAATGCCTTTTCTAAAAAAACAAAAGTGCGCTTGCGTTTTTTAAGAAAATATCACTGGTTTTTAAAGTCTTACCTCCTTTTTGGGGTTACTAATACTCCACAGAGCCTAATATTTAGCAGTTCAGGTTGTCACTCAGCTGTTTCCTTGCTGGTTTTTAAAAGGATCCAGAAGACCTTCGAGAAGTGGAAAGCTAAATGCTGAATGTAGTGACCACATTAACATTTGTATTTGTGTATGGCTACACAGAGTGGTGAAAATAGATGGACTATTTGCTGATGAAAGACAGCTGAATTTTTTTTTTTTGGCACACATTTCCTGGTTATTTTTGTAAAGCCAGATGAAGGGAAAGATGTAACAGTCACTGTGGGGAAGTATCTTAATGAGGGGTGGGGGCAAGGGTGAGGGGAGGGATTTTCTGTCATTTGGTAGCAAACTGGCTTGATTTTGTGTTTCTGGAGGTGAATGTTTGTGTCCTTATCCTCTAGTGTCTCAGCATTACTAAACTTAAGGATTCACACTTCTTTGACTCCTCCCATGAGGCAGTAGGGAAAAAATATTACATATAAGGATTCATTTACTTGTACAATAAAAAGTTAGCCTACTGAACAGATTCTGGTTTTAAAGAGCCTGATTCTTCATAAGTACAACAATGGCTAAAATGGTATAAAACATGACATGGTAAGATAAAGACAACAGCAGTAAAGCAATTGACATGTTGGTACTTAACAGTTTACCCACATGCAATGGCCTTGTGAAACCCTTTTATTAGTACTGTAAAAAACTTTCTTCATACAAAGTTATTCAAAGGTTTCCTTAGTCAACTTTGTTATCAGAAGCAGGAGCACTTCCACACACTTGTACGGGCAGTTGGTTTTGTGAAATAATGGTGGCATTGTGTACTGCAGAACTGTGAGCTTACCCTAGCTACAGGTAGCTGTGGGTAAGTGTTCAGGGTTAAGATTCCTATACACATGGGAAGGGTAAAAGGGGTTAATTTTGTTTTTAAATCGTGGGTGCTCCTGTGGAGTGGGAGTTAACACTTGGTTTATGTGGTGTGTTTTAATGCTCCTCAACAAGTCTGTGAACCTGCTGATGCTTTCTGGAAACTTGCTGTGCCTTCTAAAAGCCAGTGATGGGTATGATTTACAGTTGAGCGGGGGCAACTTTGCTTTGCTTTGGAAAGGGCCACCTGTATCGACGTCATCATACAGGCCCTGCACAAATTTAGAACCTTGGTTTGTGCGGGTCAGAGGAAAACTATTTCGACGGAGAGTCCATGCGGTGAAGAAAATCTTCAGGACAAATCCTGGTTTCCAGAGTCAAGTTCAACCTGACTTACATGACTCAGCGGCTGCTCCATCCAGTTTTTCTTGTATCAGTAACAACTTGCACTTTTATGCATGTTAATGTGCAAGTTTAAAAGTTTTTTTTTTTTTGTCATTAACTTCATATGTGAAGTGTACTTAATCTTTTGTTCATTGGATTATAGAGAAATAATCCTAATGATTTTACAGGTAACAAGGATTCATAGACTTTAACATATAAAATAAGACTAGGGCCAGAGGTCTGAAAACTGTTTCATTGAGTCTAGGTACATCAAAGTTAATGTGGGTCACAAAGCTTACACTTGGATTGCAGAAAATATCCACCCCTTTTTTTGGTCACTTTTAAACACGGATTTATTTTTTTTTTACTATACAAACTTGAAATTCCATTGATTGTTAAATGAGTGTACTAGAGACTTTTTTCTTTCCGATTAATTCTGAACTTTGTATGCTCAACTAAAGAACATTGTAAGAGGTGAGAACTTGAACACTTAAATTTCATAAAGGTTAATATTGATTCAAAAGTATTGAATACCAACAAAATAGAGGTCTGTATTGTAGCTTAAAACTCATTTTTAAAAGTGATTCTTTGGGGGCAGTTCATTATACTAAACTTCTCAGTTTCTTTTTATTACTCAGGCTCCCTCCTCAGAGAAGCTTCCTGTTATGTACCTTATGGATTCTATCGTGAAAAATGTTGGAAGAGAGTATCTCACTGCCTTTACTAAAAATCTAGTTGCAACATTTATTTGTGTGTTTGAAAAGGTATATATACATTTAGAAACATTTGAATTTTTTAAAAAATGTTCCTGATTAAATAAATTCTTGCTTTTGTGTGGGGTTTTCTTGGGTGGTGAAATGTTTCTTCTTTTTGGGCTAAAGTTAGTGTTTTATACCTAAAGTGGGTGCTAGGTTTTTTAACATTATCCATTCAAAAACAGATGAGTTTGCTTTTAGAATTTTTTGTGTGTTTGTTTATTTGATAGATCCGTTTCATCACTAGAACTGTAGGCAAAAAGATCTGAAGCTGTCAAGAGTACTTCAAATGTCATTGGGTTTCTGGTGTTAGGATGTTAACTGTTTCTTAAAAAGAAAAAGCATAATGCTAGTGTTTGTCAACCTGTGATTCCTGAAACTTTGGATTTTTTTTTTTTTTTTTGGAAGTGTTACTCTTGTTACTTTGTTCAAGTATATTTTATGAGATATGTGAATGGTGGATCAGTGAAATGCTTTAGGTTATTTTGGAATTACCCCCCACCCCCCCAATTCTGCACCCTCTTAGTGTTTAGAAGAAAGGATTGTTAGTTTCTTTTACCTAGAAATTGTAAATTCCTTCTATAACATTGTATCTGATAGTTTGGTAATCTAGTTATGTTGAGGAAGACAAAGGATTTGCTGAAGTAATTCTTTTTCCTGTCAGGCTTCATCTCAAGCTGAGCAAAAGGACATTTATAAGATACTTGGGTTTAAACACTGTTTCTAACCAAAAAACTGCATTTTAGTAGATATCTTGAGAAATTTTACAGTTGTCAGGCTTGGAGAATTGGGGTTATTTAGAACGAACTACTGGTTATCAGATTTTACTTGTTTGTTAGAAAATGTGTGGTTGCTACTTGAGTAACTCTTTGCCCGTATATGCGGAAGAAATTTGGAAAGCCATATTTCAAATTGTATTAATAGAACTTGTTAATAGTACTGTAGACCTTTACTAAATACTGCTTGCCTGGGACTTTACGGAGAAACCAACTTTGCATTATAGAAATAGGGATGCTAAACCAGTTTCTTGGTTTCAGTTTTAGGATGTTCAGATTCATTTGGGTGTTTGGTAGAATACTTTTACTGATTCTTAACTAGGCCTTAATACTGAAGATGATGAAAATGACTTTGTAGTAAATATCTAAAGATTCAAATATAGTTAAAAATCTAATTCAGTTTTCCCAAGTGCTAGATTTCTCTGATGGTAATTTAAAAAGTATTGTGCTCATCATAAGCATGAGCAGATAAGTTATATAATACTAAAGCATGAGCAGATATATAAAACTAAAGCTTACCAGTGGGTAAAATTTTGTGAATTTAAATTATTCAGGTGTCTACCACACTATAAATAGTTTGTTCATAGGCACTGACCATATTGTATTGCATGAGATCAGTTAAATAGTTTTGTCTTACTTTAACTTTGTACTAAATGTAAATAGCTTAAAATTTAAGTCATCAGATAAACTATTTTCTAGTTGTTTTATATTTTTGTCTGGAGTAAAAGTTACATTAGGAATACTGTGTCAGTTCTTTTTTTTGACAAGTTTTTTAAATTAACTGTGCAAATACAATTTTATTATTACTGTTATATATAATTATGAATGAGAAGTATGTGTGCTATATGTGAAGTAGAACTGAGATTGATGTAGTATTATACTTGATATATAAAATATCCTATAGTAACTTAACAAGCCATAGAATTGTTCTGTTGTTCTAGGTGGATGAAAATACTAGAAAAAGTTTATTTAAATTACGTTCCACATGGGATGAAATATTTCCTTTGAAGAAGCTTTATGCCCTGGATGTCAGAGTCAATTCGTTAGATCCTGCTTGGCCTATTAAACCTCTGCCCCCCAATGTGAATACATCTAGCATCCATGTGAATCCTAAGTTTTTAAATAAATCGGTAAGTTTTAACATAAATGATATATAACTAACATTTTCAACTGTCAAGTTTTGACTTTTCTGAAATGTCTTGCCAGAAGAAAGTATCAAGAATATGCCGTGCTGAATCAGTTTAATTAAAAAGTTCCCCTCGCCCCAGGTTCACAGTGCCTTGAAGATAAGTATTGTCCTTGTTTAGTGCATAATATATTTATTTTGATTTTTAAATTCCTGAAAATTTTCTGTATGCTTTTAAACATGATTAGCCATTTAAGGTTATGGGTAATGTTTATTAAAAGAGAAACTGATAACTTTTAGTTCCCCCTTAGCTACTTCCTTTTTAGCAGTGATTTTTTTTTTTTTTTTAACAAATTATTTTTTCTTGTAGCCTGAAGAGTCTTCAACACCTGGCACAGTGGTCAGTTCCCCTAGCATCTCCACTCCTCCTATTGTTCCGGATATACAAAAGAATCTTACTCAAGAGCAACTAATAAGGCAGCAATTACTGGCAAAACAAAAGCAGCTGTTAGAACTTCAGCAGAAAAAGCTGGAGCTTGAACTTGAGCAAGCTAAGGCACAACTGGTAAGTAAAGGAGATTTGGCATTTTGAGTATTTTTAAATTTGCCTTCTGGTGGAGGTGGAATTATTTTGTATTAACATATTACGTTTGTTAACAGTGTATTTGTTTCGCCTTTATTTTGCAAATTAAGGTATATTTGTTAGGCCAAATTTTTATATCCTTATTGTAAAACTTGGGAGTCCCTGTTAGCTCAGCTAGTAAAGAATCTGCCTGCAATGCAGGAGACCTGGGTTCCATCCCTGGGTGAGGAAGATCCCCTGGAGAAGGGAATGGCGACCCACTCCAGCATTCTGACCTGGAGAATCCCATGAACAGAGGAGCCTGGCAGGCTACAGTCCATGAGGCTGCAGAGAGTCTGACACGACTGAGCGACTTTAACTTTATTGTAAAACTCACTTGATTGAATATAAACTGCACTATTTTCTTTCAAAAATGTTTTTATTAGATTGCTGTCTTATGAGATAGCATCTTAGTTTTGTTAAAAATTATGTGAACTTTTTCATATCAGTCCCCAGATGGTGTGTTGTGGCAAATGTTTTTGCCTAGTCTTTATTAATAATATTTTGTGCACTTAGGTTTCATGAGCAGAAATTTTTAGCAGGTTCCTTAGAAGACTACCACAAAAAAAAGCTATCACAAAATAAGGAGGCCAGGAAGATTGTGTATTTCTGTTCATGAATAATCTTATATTATTTTACATAGTGCTATGTAAAATTTGAGAGTGAGGGAGTACAGCACTGCAAAATTTTATAAGTTCATTATCAGTGCCACTGAGAGGAACTAAATTTTATGACTTGAAATTTAGCTGGAATGACTTTGATGCCTGTGTGACTAGAGTGCAGTGATTTACTTAGTAGTTTCTTAATATCAGTCTGGCCCAGAATTCTGAATAATTAGAAGATTTTTTTTTCCCCATTCTACCTAAAAGTTATAAAACCCCAAAGTAGAGAACCAGGAAGAAATAACAGGCCACATAAATAAATATGATCTTTCTTTTGTTTTTATCTCCACTTAAAATACCAAAAGATTGCACTGAAAATAGTGTTGGCTGTAACATGAACATTTATTTTGTATTTCAGGCAGTTTCTCTTAGTGTTCAGCAGGAGACATCCAACTTAGGTCCTGGATCTGCACCATCCAAATTGCATGTTTCACAGATTCCCCCTATGGCAGTTAAAGCTCCCCATCAGGTTCCTGTACAGCCTGAGAAAAGTCGTCCAGGTCCATCCTTACAAATTCCAGATACGAAAGGAACTAACCGGGATCCCCGTCTTAATAGGATGAGTCAACATTCTTCTCATGGAAAAGATCAAAGTCACAGGAAAGAATTCCTAATGAACACACTGAACCAATCTGATATTAAGACAAGTAAAACTGTACCCTCTGAAAAACTAAATTCATCCAAGCAAGAAAAAAGTAAATCAGGTGAAAAAATAACCAAGAAAGAACTTGACCAATTGGATTCTAAATCCAAATCTAAATCTAAATCACCGTCACCTTTGAAAAACAAATTATCCCACACAAAAGACTTGAAAAATCAAGAATCTGAAAGTACAAGGGTGTCTGATATGAGCAAGAGAGATCCAAGATTAAAAAAACATCTTCAGGATAAGACTGATAGCAAAGATGATGATATAAAGGACAAGAGAAAAACTGCAGAAAAAAAGGATAAAGATGAGCACATGAAATCATCTGAACATAGACTGGTGGGAAGTAGAAATAAAATCATAAATGGTATTGTACAAAAACAGGATACAGTAACGGAAGAATCGGAAAAACAGGGGACAAAACCAGGGAGATCGAGTACTAGAAAGCGGTCAAGATCACGGTCACCCAAGTCGCGGTCACCGATTATACATTCTCCCAAGAGAAGAGACAGGCGGTCACCCAAACGGAGGCAAAGGAGTATGTCTCCAACCTCAACCCCCAAAGCTGGCAAGATTCGCCAGTCAGGAGTTAAACAGTCACACATGGAAGAGTTTACACCTTCTAGGGAAGAAAGAAGTGCAAAGAGAAGTACTAAACAGGATCTTCGAGATCCAAGGCGGATAAAAAAGACTGAAGAGGAACGACCACAAGAGGCTGCAGGACAACATTCTACCAAGTCAGGCACTGAACCAAAGGAGAATGTAGAAAATTGGCCAAGTTCCAAGTCTACCAAAAGATGGAAATCCGGTTGGGAAGAAAATAAAAGGTAGGATGTTAACATTTTTAATCAAGTACAATAATGTGTACCTTTAAAAACACAGTGTTATACTTCAAAAACTGGACAATGTTTACTGGGTGGTATAATTAGTACTTTTTTTTTTCCCCTCCTTTAATTCCTAAAACCTTGTCAAGTTAAGTACCATTACTGTTGCTACCTTAGAGATTAGGAAAGTGAAGTTTAGGAAGGTTAACTAATCTACCTAAGGTGACACATCCAGGATATACAAAAATCAGAATTTATATCTGATTTTCTTGACTTCAGATCTTGTGCTCTTAACCATTCAATTAACTTTTATTACATGTGTTCATTTTAACCAGATCCTATTAAGGATCTTTGAATATGGTCCTGAGTATTTAAATATTTTTAATAAAGTAACATATTCCTTTTATGGTTTCAGTTCACAACAGGGTGATGAACATAGTAAAGCTCCTCATCTAAGGCATAGGGAGAGCTGGTCAAGCACTAAAGGAATCTTGTCACCTCGAGCCCCAAAGCCGCAGCATCGATTAAGTGTAGATGCCAATCTTCAGATTCCTAAAGAGTTAACTGTTGCAAGCAAAAGAGAATTACTTCAAAAGGTAGCTACCATGCTCCCATGTAGTCATGATTCTCCTTTTGTCTGTAACTTTTTTTTGTAAGTACTTTTTATATTTAAAATATTTGATTTCCTTTTATCATCCCTATGCAGACGAGTGAACGTTTAGCATCTGGTGAAATTACACAGGATGAGTTCCTTGTTGTTGTGCATCAAATACGACAGCTATTTCAGTATCAAGAAGGTAAACATAGATGCAGTGTACGGGATAGTCCTACAGAAGAAAATAAAGGTGGATTAAAAAAGAAACCTCTCTTATCTGATGCTGAATTAACCTACTATGAACATAAAGCAAAACTGAAAAGGACACAGGTTCAGCATTCATTTCCAAGACTTGATCTCTTAGATCCTGATATTTTTGACTACCCTTTGACTGATGCCTTGTTGTCTGGAATAGAATGTGAGCCATCCAAAAGTAAACATGCAAGTAGGAATAGTGGAGCACAGTTTGACAGAAAAGAACAATTTAGTGAAAGAGCAAGACGTCTTTCTCCTATATCTGGGAGTCGTACTTATGCTGAGAATCTTTCACCCCATGAGGGCCGGAGAAGACATGACGAGCAAGTCTCTTCTAAAGGTAGAAAAAGTTAAATCAGATTATACCTATTGAATCACACAGCAGTGAAGGGAAAATGAACAAGCTAAGTGGGGATGGATTTTTGTGACTGTTCAGACTACTGCTTTGCTGTTTGTTTTGTTTCAGTTTTTTTCCCTCAAAGGGGAGGGAGCTAATACTGAAAGGGTCAACTGTGTGTTAGGTACTTGTAATCTCATGCATTCCTCACAGTGACCCAGTGAAGTATATATTATCCCCATTTTACAGATAGGAAACAAGACCAGAGAGGTTAAATAACTTGCTCTCAAAGTCAAATAATTAGTAAATTGAGTGGGAGTTTTTTACCCCATGTGTTTGGTTCTAGAGGGCATTCTCTGACCTGCTGCTTGTTGCTCTTTTCCCTCCCCTCTGATAGTGAGATAGTTATGGATGTTTTTGAATGAACATTTACAAGAATATAGGAAGAATATTTTAAGATAATTTGATATAAATTATCAGATTCAGGGAAATAATTTTTTTTTCCTTTTAAAAGGTGTACGAGAAGAGCAGAGATCTCCATTCAATGATCGTTTTCCACTTAAACGACCTAGATATGAAGATTCAGATAAACCATTTGTAGATAGCCCTGCATCAAGATTCGCCGGCCTTGATACAAATCAGCGACTTACGGCTTTAGCTGAAGATAGACCGTTATACGATGGACCTAGCAGGCCATCAGTAGCAAGAGATGGCCCAGCCAAGATGATTTTTGAAGGACCTAATAAATTAAGCCCTAGAATTGATGGACCTCCTACACCGGGTTCTCTTCGGTTTGATGGGTCACCAGGACAGATGGGGGGAGGTGGCCCTTTGAGATTTGAAGGACCACAAGGCCAGTTAGGAGGTGGGTGTCCTTTGAGATTTGAAGGTCCTCCAGGACCAGTCGGGACACCTCTGCGATTTGAGGGGCCAATTGGTCAAGCAGGAGGAGGTGGCTTCCGATTTGAAGGTTCCCCTGGTCTGAGGTTTGAGGGATCTGCAGGTGGTTTGCGATTTGAAGGGCCAGGGGGCCAGCCTGTGGGCGGTCTCAGGTTTGAAGGACATCGGGGCCAACCTGTGGGTGGTCTGAGGTTTGAGGGACCTCATGGTCAGCCTGTGGGTGGACTTCGGTTTGAGAATCCTCGAGGTCAGCCAGTAGGTGGACTTAGATTTGAGGGAGGTCATGGTCCATCGGGGGCTGCAATGAGGTTTGATGGGCCTCATGGTCAGCCATCAGGTGGGATCAGATTTGAGGGCCCATTGTTACAGCAGGGAGTTGGAATGAGGTTTGAGGGCCCCCATGGTCAGTCAGTAGCTGGTATGAGGTTTGAAGGACAACATAATCAACTTGGTGGGAACCTTAGGTTTGAGGGTCCACATGGTCAACCAGGGGTTGGGATCAGGTTTGAAGGACCTTTAGTCCAACAAGGAGGTGGAATGAGGTTTGAGGGTCCTTCGGTCCCAGGAGGTGGCCTGAGAATCGAAGGACCTCTGGGTCAAGGTGGTCCGAGGTTTGAAGGTTGTCATGCTTTAAGGTTTGAAGGGCAGCCAGGTCAGTCATCACTCCTGCCAAGATTTGATGGATTACACGGTCAGCCAGGTCCTAGATTTGAAAGAACTGGTCAGCCAGGCCCACAGAGGTTTGATGGACCTCCTGGGCAGCAGGTTCAACCAAGATTCGATGGTGTGCCTCAGAGATTTGAAGGCCCACAACACCAGCAAGCATCAAGGTTTGATATTCCTCTTGGTCTTCAAGGCACACGATTTGACAATCATCCTTCACAGAGGCTTGAATCAGTATCTTTCAATCAGACTGGCCCATATAATGATCCACCTGGTAATGCTTTTAATGCCCCATCCCAAGGACTACAGTTCCAAAGACATGAACAAATGTTTGACTCACCTCAAGGACCAAATTTCAATGGACCACATGGCCCTGGAAACCAGAGTTTTTCCAATCCCCTTAACAGAGCTTCTGGACACTATTTTGAGGAGAAGAATCTTCAGAGTTCTCAGTTTGGAAACTTTGGCAATTTACCTGCTCCAATAACAGTAGGAAATATTCAGGCATCTCAACAGGTAAGTCTGTTATTCTGAAGTTACATGAAGTATTTTTAATGTGTCTAGTATTTGAGGAAGGTTTTTAGGATATAGTTTATGGGTTGGAAAGGGCTTTTAAAGATTTAATTTTTTTTTAGTAAATTTTTGTTTTTGGAGGAAGTTTTAGTGTACTTCAAAATCTCAACTGCTAGGAAAATGGGATGACAGTCTTTTGGAACTGAAATTTGTGATTTAAATCCAAAATTGATCTTAGTTCTTTCAGGATCTAGAGAACCCTCCCAATCTCCCTCCCCTTACCCCCACAAAATCTTGTTTTTTAAAAAATATAGACTTGTTTTTTAAGAGTCGTTTTAGGCTCACAGCAAAATTGAGCTATGAAATATAGGAATTTCCCATATACCCCTTGCCCTTGCTTATGCATAGCCTCCCTGTTACGGCTTTTTATTTCATGGGTTGATTTTTATTTTTTTGGCTTCAAAGGTATTAAAGTATGATACAGTTGTGTGTGTTTCATAGACCTCTGCTACATTATACAGCTGTTAAGCCTTGATAAGCTTATAAGTAACCATAAAGCTGATTTTATAGACTATTCTTTGAGAACTTCCTTAGCCTGAGTTAAATAAACAAGAAAATAAAATTGTCCATGTTTTTACGGTCTGTAGTTCTTTTTCTTCCTCTCTTTTTACTTTTCACCACCTTTCTGTCATTCCAGTCAAATACAGTTGTTTGATGTTATACATATATTTTTAAATGCACATTGAAATAATGTTAAAGCAGTGTGCTTATAATTTGTGATTAATTCGGTTGATATTAATGACTATTATTGTTTGCCTGTTCAAGTTCTCCAGGGCTAGATTTACTTTTTTCCAGGTACTGACACTTTCTTACTAGGATGAATTTATTTATACTAGTAACATTGCATGGAAGAAAGTGTAAAACAAGAAAGCTTTTAAAGCATGTTATAAGCATCATTGTTAGAAAGCAACTTTCTGTCCATATCCAGTGGCTTGAGAAAACAATTGGCCTCCTTAGATTTACTCTATTACATGTTCTTAAAAGAAATGATATGTAATCAATAAGATACTCTAGACTTGACTTAGTCTTGTTCCTACATTATACAGAATTGATGGGGGTTTCATACATAAGAAAAAATACATACCACTAAAGGTTCAGAGGAATCCTGAACAAGGCTTATAAATGAACATTTGTTTATATAGTAGCAGTGTGCAGATGTTCTACCTCACTCTTGACTACAATACAATATTTGTATGCATATACAGTACTTGTTTCATGGCTGTTTTATTTTTTTAACAGTCCCTTAAAATTTTTACAGAGTACTTTGTAACTCAAAGTTTGATGGCTAGCAAAATGATCATAAAGCAGTTCAGATTGCTAATTAAAGCAGGCTCCTGAAATTTGTAAAGAAGTCAGGTCAGGAGTTCTGGCCTCAGCTCTGATGTTTATTGGCCATTATGATTCTGTATAGGTCACATATCTGCATATAAGTTTTTCTGTTTGTAAAATAAGAGAATGCTCTGGCAGGGTAAAGTGATTTGTGTAAGGTCACAGTTTGCTAGTTGTTGGCTACCTTAAGTTTGCAGGGTATCTTAGATTTCAAAGAACTTTCACATCCATTCTCAGTTTCTTATTATTCTATGAAAAATCTAAGGGAAGGTGGTATTATTCCTTTTTATAGAGAGCCTTAGAAGTGAGTGAACTAGTCAGGTCATACTTTTACATCTTCATTATCATAAAAACCTGGCCTTATGATATCTGTGACTATTTTAATGTATTGGTAATTTGAATGTTAAGATTTTGGTTAAAATAGAGAAAAAACATTCTTAAAACCAAGATTTTTCTTAAAGGTTCTGACTGGTGTTTCTCAGCCAGTAGCATTTGGCCAAGGACAGCAATTTTTGCCAGTTCATCCACAAAATCCTGGAGCATTTGTTCAGAATCCTTCAGGTATGTTAATTTTCTGAGCTTTGTGTTTCTCAAAAGACAATTATTGTTTGATTAATAGCTACCTTGTCAGTTTTAGAAGGTGACACTTTTGAGAGGGCATATGCAATTTAGAGAAATTTAATCTGACTGGGATGTTTCGTTTCCTTTCTTTGCTTGTTTGCATAATGTTGATATGTTTTCACATTAAACCCTTTACAACTATAGATGGTTAGCCAGGATTGATAGACCACAAAAAAGAGGGAAGGAGTTTTGTTAGGTGGCAGCTAGAGGTTGGGATAGGAATGTGACATTTGTGCTGAGATAAAATGAAATCAGTGACAAATCTCAGAAGTCTTAGCTATTTGATACTTTGAATTTTTGTTTTGTGTGTATGTGATGATCCAGTAAACATTAAGTGAATACTGGGGATATCATGTTATAAGTTGATTCATTTATATGTCTTTATGGGTGCTTAAGTAATAATTGTACACAACATGCTGAAAGAGAAGTAGAAAAACACTTCTGTGATTTCCTAGCAGATGTCCATGATAAGCATCTGTGGGGTGAAGCATAACTGTTATGAATACAATAACACTAATAGATACTGAGGCTTTAAAAATAAGTTTTAGAGAATTCCCTGGTGGTCCGGTGGTTAGGACTGTGCACTTGTACTGCCAAGGGCCTTGGGTGTTCAATTCCTTGTAAGGGAACTAAGATCCTGCAGGCTACATGGTACAGGCAAAAAAAAAAAAAAGTTTTAGTTTTTAATAGGTGAAAAATGGAAATATGTAAAAGAGGTAACTTAACCAAATTGTAGTGGTACTTGCTTTATTTCTGAATCATTAAAACAGTCATTTTTAGAAATATGGTCTAGTGTGCCTCTATTAAGGGTACAAATTCAGAATTTTCCGAAAGTTCCGAAGTAACTAGGAAAGACCTAGCCAAGCTCTAGTTTATGGATTAATTATTCAACTGTATCATCATAAGAAACTAAATTAATTTGAAAACATTTTGCTTTTAATTGCTAGACTGACAGGATTAGTATTTTTTTATTTTCACATAATGAAAAGGGAAGGAAAGTATTAGGATTCTAAAGTCAAAAGAGTAGGGATAGTATCTCTACTCTGCTGCTGTACATGTAGGCGGAGTTTATATAAGCAAATAGCCTCTCTGGGCTTCATTCAGTTTTTTCCTCTGTAGATAGGATATGATAATTTCAGGATTTGCCTGGGAATCTTTTTTTTTTTTCAGAGAATCAAATGAGATAGTATATGCAAAAGTACTTTGTGACTTGTAAAGTGCTATATTAGTGTATTTTCCTTTAGAACTCAGTTTTTCTTGTTGAGTAGAGGGCTTGTTGTATTGGAGTTGGTAGCATGGGATAGTGTGCAACAACTAAATTTTGCTCTTTCTTGTATGAGATAATATACAAAACCTGTCAGTGTTCTTTTGCTTTAACAACCTTAGGCTGCTTACATATACAGGGCATAGCAATGTCACAGAGGAAATCACATCTTATATCCTGGGTTGGAGGTTATTGAATATGTTAGATATGCCTTCCTTCTTCATTTTACTTAAAGAGATATGAAAGGTATTCAGTGTTTGGCTTCTCTCAAGGTCTTTTTCTCAAGATTTAAAACCTTTTTTTCCTTGTAGTAAACACATGTTCATTTAGTCATTCAAACAAATATTGATCATTTGCTGTGTGCTAGGCATTGTGCTAGGTTTATCCTTCTAAGAGCTTTAGTGTAGCAGGATCTATAGACTTTTTTTTATTTAAATAGTTGTTCAGTTATATCTATTGGTTGATAAACTAGACACCATCATTGGGTACCCAAGTTTGAAATTCCAGGTCTGTTCTGAGAATTGCCTCTATTCTTGTTTCTAAATGCACAGAAAAGTAAATCTGAGACTGTCAAAGCTTCTTTTTGTTTCCTGTGTTTTTTAAAAAAGTTATGTTATAGGTGTACAATATAGTGATTCATAATTTAAAAAGTTTTGCTCCATTTATAGTTATTGTAAAATACTGACTATATTCCTTTAGATTCTACATGTGATACCTTACAGTATTTCACTGACTTATTTCACTTGGACTGTTCTTCTTTAAACAAACATTATATATACTGAAAAATATGTCAGTGCCTTTACAAATATTAATTCATTTAATCTTTACAACAGCCTCAGGTAGGAACAATTATCATTACCCTTTTATAAGTAAAGTAAACTGAGGCACAGATAAGCAACTTAGCATGTAACACAATCAGAAAGTGGAATTTCTAGTTAGAATCCCAGGAGTCTGATTCCTGGCTTTTTTTCCTACAGTTCATGTTCTTGAGCACTAAACTTGGCTGCTGGCAGACATGTGATCAGCTAGTTAGGATTCCTGGACATATAAATAGCTAATTCTAATGAAATGTAAATGTTAAACTAGTGTGTGAAATGACTGTTGTAATTGACTTATTCATGTAGTCAGACATTTCAGCAGACATTAATTAGCCTCCTGTACACAAGGCACTCTGCTGCATGTAAAGAGTGCGTGCTTGGTCAGTTGCTCCAGTCGTGTCCAATTCTGTGCGACCCTAAGGATTATAGCCTGCCAAGCTCCTCTGGCCATGGGATTTCCCAGGCAAGAATACTGGAGTGGGTTGCCATTTCCTTCTCCAGGGGATCTTCCTGACCCAGGGATCAAATCCACATCTCTTAGATCTCCTGCATTGGCAGGCAGGCTCTTTACCACTAGCACCACCTGGTAAAGAGTATGCAGTGGTTAAGGGCAGAGATTATGTCTTGTATCGTGGTGGCGGTTGTTCAGTTGATAAGTCATGTCCGACTCTTTGTGACCTGTGGACTGCAACACGCCAGGCTTCCCTGTCCTTCAGTCTCCCTGAGTTTGCTCTCCTTTATTGCATTGTGAATGCAAGTTGAATTTCTCCCATTAAGAGGAATTTTTAGTGGTTCAGAACTGTTGTGTAAAGGTGTGGTAAATAAGATGCATAGTAATGGTATACAAACATATTAAAATACTGTTTTTTATAATTGAGTTAAAGAATTATCATTTTTAAATTAGTGCTTAGCCAAATATGTAACTGGATTGATTCCTTGCCAGTGAACTTAAGGAGAATATTGTTATTCTTGTTTCATTTATTCAAATTATTGGAGCTTCAGTAATGTACCTGTTCAGCAATAGTCTGAGGTGCTTTCCCAGGGTGGTGATTGAGTACAGGTCAGAGGGGCAGGTATATTCTGAGCCATATGGCTCAGCTCCCTGCATTAGTTCCCCTGGGCAGTTATGGGGAGGCGGGGGAGTTGGGGAGCTGGGCAGGAGTGCTTCTGTTTAGGCTCTGGTTATTTTTTTTCCTCCTGGAAATCTGTGCTAAGAGACGGTAGCCTACTTCATCTCTATAAAACTACCTTTCCCAGTAGAGTTAGGCGAATAGAGAACTGAAAGGGTGGAAGGTTGCACCTAGAGGTGTGGTGCCACACTATGCAGAAGGAAGCGTTAAACTTTCTGCATCTGCGTTTCTTTGCATGGAGTAATTGGGCGGCAGTGGGTAATACTGGTTTTTTAAGATAGTACACGAAAGTGAAAGTGTTAGTGGGTCAGTTGTGCCTGACTCTTTGCAACCCCATGGACTGTTGTAGCCCGCCAGGCTCCTCTGTCCAGGGGATTCTCCAGGCAAGAATACTGGAGTGGGTTGCCATGCCCTCCTCCAGGGCATCTTCCTGACTTAGGAACTGAATCTGGTCTCCTGCTGTAGGCAGGTTCTTTACTGTCTGAGCCACCAGGGAATGTCCTTATAAAATATTTGTGGTTTTATTATTTGTCCTAAATAGATTTTTGAGAGGTGATGATTTGCTGATGTAAATTGCAAAGTACATTTTTAGGAGTTTTGGTAATTACACTGATCTTAAGATTTTTTCAAAGTTAATATTGATAGGAAATCTTGAACAAAACTTAAAAAATGTTTAGCACAGGTTGCCTCTGTTCTGCTTTTAAGTGTATTCTTTTCTTAAAGGAGCCCTGCCTAAGGCTTATCCTGATAATCATCTTAGTCAGGTGGATGTAAATGAATTATTTTCGAAACTGCTAAAAACAGGAATTCTCAAATTGTCCCAGCCTGATTCAGCTACAACACGTAAGTATGGATCTGTAATTCATCTACACAAAGCTTAAGTTATAAAGACATATGATATAAAATGATATGTTCTATGGTAAGAATTCTTAGGTATACTTTGTTTTCTGAAAATTAAATATAACTGGTTTATAATGAAACAAAAATTTTCTAACATGGAACTGTTACCTTTATAATGGACATTGTTATCAGTTAATATTCTGCAAATACCACGTGCAGAGTTTTTTCTAGTTGTTCTGTATTATTTTAGCTTATACAAATAATTAGACTATTAATGAGTTTCATAAAGATTGACTTTTAACAGATCAAACAAAATATCACTTATCAAAATAAATAATTGTATTAGGTTCCTTGGCCAGTAAACCTAAGATCAGAAGCCCTGAGTAGACAGGATGGGGTTCTCCATATGCTTTTAACACTCTAATGTTCCCCTATAAAGAATACATGGAAACTGGTATTTAGAAATTTGTTTCTTTTCAATTGAAGAAGTAAATGAAGTTGCTGCTCAGCCCGCTGCTGAGGAGGAGGAAGATCAAAATGAAGATCAAGACGTTCCAGATCTTACCAATTTTACAATTGAAGAATTAAAACAGTATGTAATCTAGTTTTCTCATTTTTTCAGGTAAAAGGGATGGTGACTTTGTAACAGTGGTTATTATCATTAGTGCCATTCATCTTACCCCTCTTTTACAGCAAGTATAAGGAGATTGAGTATTAGGTATTAGTAAGTCACTCATGTCCTTCTTTACCTTTATACTAATCATAACTTTTTTTCTTCACTGCTATCCTTCATGCTTTTGAAGTTAAGAAAATGAGATTTTTATAGGCTGATATTTAACAGATTAAAACTTTTCATTTTACAGAAATTAAGAAAATAAAGTTACCTACAGTTCTCACTTTACTGATAGCCAGTGTTAACATTTGATGCATATATTTTCATTTTTTTATTTGCCTGTATTACTTACATAAAATCATTTACAGTTGCTTTATTAGATCCATTATGTTAAGAGCACTTCATAAAAAAAAATAGAACTTCTGATTTATTACATTTCTTGATTTATCCCATTTAGACAATTTCTTGACTTCCTGTAAGTGGAGACTTAGTTGGCTCTTCCACTGTCCTACCAGCTCTCCTCTATATAGTTATAAAACCATTTCTCATTAATTTATTCAGTAGTAATATTATGCCTCTAAATATTTTGTTTTCTGGTATACAGAATACTAGTGTACTATGCTTTGCTTTATTCTATTACTTTAAAAACTTTTTTGGAGTTCTTAATGGCCTGTTTGTTCACTTACTTGTTCTGCATTCCTATTTCTTTCTAAATAGGGAGCCCAGAATTAAAAAAAAAAAAACTGATTATTGCTGACCTCAGTTTCTCTTTCCCTATTCTTTAGACCGGGGGGGACAGTTGAGTAATTCAGAACTGAAGTTCTGGAAAGATGAATTTGAATTGTTCTGCCATATCCACCTTGATACTGACATTAATCGAAGAATAGGCCAAGTATTGCCTTATTAGTGGGCCAGTGACCATTCCATTATTTGCTAGAGGGAAATAGTAACTGAACTAGGTCTGTTGATAAGAGGGTAGACTCCATGTTCCAAAATTTAACCAAAGATAAGGTAAAGACGGTGATACAATATTAGAAAATATTATTGATCTTTGGATAGTAAGTCTCAACCAGCTCTTGGCTGAAATGTTATTTTGTCACATAATAATGGTTTTACCATTATTAAAATGTAGAAAATTGAAGTACTTATAACTGCCTTTTTTTTTTTTTAAAGGCCATTTAAGCCATGCTATCAAAACTAAAGATTATTTCTCTATTTTTTAAAATAGACGTTATGATAGTGTTATAAATCGACTGTACACTGGTATTCAGTGTTATTCCTGTGGAATGAGGTTTACAACATCACAGACAGATGTATATGCAGATCACTTGGACTGGCATTATCGACAAAATAGAACTGAAAAAGATGTAAGCAGAAAAGTCACTCACAGGCGTTGGTACTACAGTTTAACAGTAAGTAAGCCATGTGCCTCTGAACTCTTAACCTTTAAATTATATCATTCTAAAAGTAAATTAGTAATTGATGAGTACTAGTGAATTTTTTGAATAAAATTTGACCCCTAGAATATAAAATGTCTTTTTAATTAAAAAAATGTTTTTTGAAGAGTATGTATTTGCCTGTATTAGAGTAGAACACAGGGTTGTTCTAGCTCTAAAATTCCAAGGTTCCATGACTGATTTTTTTTTTTTTTTTGGTAAAGTGTAAACGAAATTTATCTTACTTGCATAAGTAGTTGTAACTGTAGAGGTAGTGGAATGTTGATATTAAGATCTTAGTTGTTCATTAGTTGCTTTATGTTGTCTATTAGTTATGGGACTCAGATGACGAAATTTTAAATAATATTAAAGTATACTGTAGAAGAATGAACTTCTTATATTGAAATGGCATTATACTGAAGGTGTTCAGTAAGAATTTGTTTTTAAATTAACTCTTTTTAAGGACTGGATAGAATTTGAGGAAATAGCTGATCTGGAAGAACGTGCAAAGAGCCAGTTTTTTGAAAAAGTACACGAAGAAGTTGTACTCAAAACTCAGGAGGCTGCTAAAGAAAAGGAGTTCCAAAGTGTACCGGCTGGACCAGCGGGATCAGTTGAGGTAAAAGGAAAACATGCAATTTTCTGTCTCTGGTCATGCCTTTCACTTCCTTTAAGTAAATAACATATAACTTTATTTACATCTCTCTTTTAATGATTTTAAGATTTCTTGTAAGCTTTACTCTTCAGTGTTTTTGAGTTTTGGTTTGTATTTTATAACCACTGTAGTTACTGCATGTTTATTAGTGACCAAGGGCAGTGAAATGTTAACTATTTTTGCATGGAAGAATGCAAAATTCTTAGGTCTTATTTTGTATTATGTATTTGAAAGCTGTTTAAATTTTCAGAAAACTCTTGAATTCTTTTCTCCATGTAACAAAATGTTTGCTTATTTCTACTCAATGGGACTAAATGTGTTGTTACATAAACTTCATTTTTATATGATTCTATTTTTAGAGTTGTGAAATCTGTCAAGAGCAGTTTGAACAGTACTGGGATGAAGAGGAGGAGGAATGGCATTTAAAAAATGCTATTAGAGTAGATGGAAAGGTAATTTTCACCTCTTTATTGACGTACTTTATAAGGAAGTGTTAAGATTTTAAAAATTTTAATTTTGTAGGGGTAGTTCTACTTTGAAAGAAAATTGTTTTTGCTTTATGGTTTTTAATAAAAGCAGTATTTCTAAAGTATTGGACTTTTGGGAGTCACAGTATTTGATATGGAAGGCATTTTACCAATTATCTGGTCTTGTACTCATTTTATAAAAGAGGTTGCCTAACTAGTTAATGATAAGTCCAGCAGTAGGTCTTCTGAGTCTAGCTAATCTGCTTAATCACACTATTTTGATCTGAATTTATATTTCATCATCAAAACTCATATATTTAGTAGTTTACCATGTTAATATATAAAGGAAGCTTTAAGAAATATCAGGATGAAAATTTTGTTTTTATCTGTTTTTCTGACCAAATGATTTTCTTCGTCTTTCCAAAGATAGTTTACCTTCTGGTTTAAAGTTAGAAAATTTTGTCAGAATAGTCCATTAGAAATGAGTAAGCATGCATGTGAATACTTAACTTTTTTGTTTTTGCTTCAGATTTATCATCCATCATGTTATGAAGATTATCAAAATGTAAGTTCTTTTTGGTTACTCTTTGTTCTCATTTACATTGATAAATTTTACTTTTTGCATCTCAACATTGTTATTTTAATCTTGATATGTTGAGCTGTTAGATTTGATGGAGCATTTAGGTTGTTCACTAAATATTGGTGATAGATTGATATGGTCTGTTGAGATTTTGTGTCATTTTCCTTGCATTCTTTTCGTTTGAATCTTGATGATCTTACTAGAGTATTAGGCCTAGAGAAATGTGAGGAAGACTAAAAATGAGAAGGCTCATGATGGTAATAATTTTGTACAAGTTATGAGTCACATTTAGTTCTGTCACATACCCCACTCAGCTGTGTAATATAGGAATAACTTTTAAATTATCATATGTGAATTATGAAGACTTAAATTATCATATGTGAATTATGAAAAGACATCAGTGTATTGACCTTAGAAGTTAAAATTTTCATATTTGTAGTGACCTTTTTTTTTTTAAACAGTGAAACATATTAACTCTCAGGGAATATTTGTTTCACAGCTTCAAGGGGCAGTTTGGAAGATATACTTAGGTCATCAAAAGATTAGATTTTACAGGATGTTTTGATGGTTTGGGGGGATTTAAAAAAAATCATCAGAGTATTTGAAAGTAGGAGTCACAAATCCCAGGCTATATGTAGGGGGGTTATAGTGGGGTTAAAACACAGAAACATGTCTAGTCATTTAACCAACTTCTTTTGGCCTTATATTGGTGACTGCTTTTCTTACCTTATCTCATTACTGGAGTAGATACCAAGTGCTCAGTATATAGTCTAATTGGCTGCCTTTATGGCATGTTTTGCAGGAAAGCAGGGTTTTCAAATTGCATTTGGTATGTTTCTTTGCCCATAAAAGGGTCTTATAAAACTAAATGTCATTTAATGTGATATCTGTCAGTACTTAAAGGGTTTTTCATTTTGTAGACATCTTCATTTGATTGTACACCATCTCCCAGCAAGACACCAGTTGAAAATCCCTTGAACATTATGTTGAACATTGTCAAAAACGAATTGCAGGAACCCTGTGAAAGTCCCAAAGTTAAGGAAGAACGAATTGATACTCCACCAGCTTGCACAGAGGAAAGCATAGCAACAGCCACTGAAATTAAAACAGAAAATGATACAGTCGAGTCAGTTTAAATAAAATGAGAAAGGTATGTTTTTCTTTTTTTTAAAAAAAAGCTGCTGTTGAAATCTAGAAGGTGAAGAATTTTTTATGTATATATAGACATATCTATATAAATTGTCTAGCTGAGGCAGGGCCTTCAGCTATCATTTGGTTAATAAATACATTTTAGTATTTGCATTTCCTACTGCCTGCACAGTTTCAGGTGCTTGTCGTGTGAAAGTTCTGTAGATGTGTGCAAATTTAACAAAATGAAATTGTATGTGTAAAAATGTACAATTTTCACTTGTGAAACTGTAAATTATAAATAAAAAAATATTTTTGCTATCCATGGAGTGTAATATTTATGCACACCATCAAATAAAGACAGTGTTTCTGTACTTTTTATTGGGTGAAAATGGAATTAAACAGCAACCTCAACATAAGATTTTTTTCCAGCAGCTTCCCATGATTAAAGCAGTCTGAATTACTTTTATCTTTCAAAAGGGGGTTGTGATGACAGCACTGCAGGACTTTTCTCAAATTGAAAAGGCAGATTTAAAAAATTTTTAAACAAAATAGGACATATTTGCATATCTATCTATATATCTCCAGCTATAGAGAACCATCCAGATGTCCATTTTTGAAAAGTACCTAATGAAGCAACTTATTCTTGGACACTGATGCCATCGAAAGATTAACAAATATATTTAAGTACTAAAGGTGATTTTTTTTTTAACGACAATTTTCAGATTTGTCAATTTAATGCAGATGAACATATTTCTATTTTAAGTTACAGGGGAATCTGTAAGAATGTTAATTTGAAACATGGTTAACCTTTTTTCCTTTGTTGGTTTTGACTGAATTAGATGGATGCCATGAGATGTTAATATTCATACATGTAATAAATAGAATGATGAAGAAACTCCAGTTTGTATCTCGTTTATTTCCTGAGTGCCTTCAGAAAGTGATTTCCTTTTCCTGTCTATCATCACTCTGTTCTTTAACACATGAATAAGGCACTTGCTGTGAGCTGGGCACTCTGAGATGCAAGGTTAATCTTTTCTGCCATCTACTGGAGGAGATAGGCTATTATAAAAGAACAGAAGTCAGTGTTCAGCACTTACTATACGGTAGGCATTTGCAAACTCTTTATATATATTTACTCTGATGCTTACAAATAATTCTAAATAGTAGATGGTATTCTCACTTTACAGATTGAATCCTTCATTTATGAAGCTGTAGAACAAGAATGTGAACCTAGCTTTGTTTCACTTCATTTCATACTATTTCTGCAATTTACAAAAATACCCTAAGATAACAGGCACACCAAACTATCTGAAGGTTGGTTAAGGAAGACTTTGTAGGTAGAGGTGGTGGAATCTGAGGGCAAACTAGAGTCCACATTGGTAGGAGGCAAGGGTATCTATAAAGAATGAGCAGCAAATGTGAAGGCTTGAAAACACTTCATGTGTTTGCTGTACACTGACAACCACAGAAGCCACCAGAAATTTTTAACAGAGGTGATATCCTATCTGCATCCAAGGCTGGTCTTCGTTTTTAAAGACTAAAGTGAATAAAAATTGAGATTTGTGGTAAATGCAGTGGGGAGGTCCAGTGAGAAAACTGGTGTCCACTAGATTTGAGACAAACATTTATGATTTGTGAGAGATAAAACACATTCATACGTTGTATGAATAATGTCATGGAAGAAATGCTGAAGTCTGAATCTAAAAATGTAGGCCAAGACTTCCTGTGCCTTTTTGGGGGAAGACCATCCATAGCTTTTATCAAATGCTTAAAAGTATGTCACAATCGAGGAAGGGGACATTCAAACCTACATACGTACCACAAATATTCAGGGAACAAACATTTAAAGACTCATATCATAGGTGGGAAGATGAGAAATAACCACAACTGAAGAAGTAAAAACCAGAAACTGGGTAGTCAAAAAGGTCAAATACGGGAAAGTTGAGAGGCATTCCTTACTGACTGAACAGTTGAGTATAGGTGAGAGGTGACAAAAAGAGCTGCTCTTCTATGAAATTTAACTGGAGAGATTTAGTTATATAAACAGAGATGTTAGCACTTAGTTTACTAACGGAACTCACTGGAGAGACAGACTGACCCAGTCTCAGCTGGAAAGAGATATAACAGCACAAGAGGACTTGGAATGGAGGAGGGACAGTATTTCTCTTAGATGTTCACAGGTATCTGCAGGTGAAGTTGAAAATTCAGTTCCTAGTTTTTGATGTAGTTGTCAAGTAGTGACTTAGAAGGATGGCCCGTCAACTTGGCTGTGCATTAGAATCACGGTGAATGCTAAGAGACTGCTTACCTCCAGTCTTATTTAGTAGATTCTCAGAAACACCTCTAATAAGTAAAAAGCTCCAGTTATACCAAAACCAATGTTCTATGTCAATTACATCCCAATTAAAAAGCTGTATAGTTAATTCTAGTAAACAGCCAGATCTGACAACTGATCTAGAAATCAGCAGCACCTCCTTTTTTGCCTGTTAAGAAAATGGAAGAGTTAGCACATACCATTAGGAACTAGAACCATTACTCTACACAAGACAGTATAGCAATGAAAGCAAAAGGAGGCCCCAGGAAGATGGAATAGTCTTTTTTTCTTTTGGTCCTGCCTCATAGCATGCAGGATGTTAGTTTCCTGATCAGGGACAGAACTTGTGCCACCTGCAGTGAAAGTACAGTCTTAACCACTGGACTGCCAGGGAAGTTCCTGGAGTACTGTCTTTTGAAATAAGAGTTGGAAGTTTGTGAGGAGAAATAAAAGGAATATTTCATTGTTTATACCCTCTTTATGATATCCTCTGATTTTGACATAATTTACCTACTTTTAACTTCCAACTTTCATGTTCTGTAAAACACTACAAAGTAATTTGTTATTCAACTAACAATAAGCTTTGGGGAGAAAAATAAGGACCTCATTATATGTTAAAAATATACCAAAATACTGAATGATATCAAGTGTCGAATCTAAAAGGTAAAACTAGTGAATAACAACAGCAACCATTTACAAATAAAGAACTAGTAGTTACCAGTGGGGAAGTGGGAAGGGGAAGAAGCAAGGTAAGAGGGAGGGATTCAGCGGTACAACACCTGTGTATAAAGTAAACTACAAGGAAATATTGTACAGCACGAGGAATATGGCCAACCAACATGGACAATAAATGAAATATAACCCTTACCACAAAAACTGTGTATATCACTGTTTTGCATCTAACACTCAATGTCGAATATACCTCAATTAAAAAAAACTAAAGTTTCTCACAGAATAGTTCAACCTAAAATAGACAATTTTAGATTCTCATTATATTTTCCTGGATGGCTTTCTTTACAGCCTAGTTAGCATTCAGTGAATGCTTTGATGGGTTTATTCAGAATACTCAGAATAAGGCATCCAGACATTGTCTGCAAATGGAAAGATCTAGCTGACTAGAGAGGAGGCAGTCTGGAGGTGGAGATGGAAAATCAGGTTGCTGTCAAGAACAGCCTGAACTTCTACTATATGGGGTCAGCCCTCTGAAATAATGGGCACTGCTGGGCAAGTGGGGAAGGACAAGTTAAAGAATAAGAGCAAAGAAGCATCTTTGGCACATCCCAGTGAGGGTTCAGAGGGGAGCACCAAAAGGAAGCCAAGAGGGTGTAAAGGCAGAACGCAGAGATGGTTTCCAAAACCCATTTAATTCTTGTCCTGGGGTTGGCCCTACTCCCTCCTGTAGAACTAGATGGAAAGAGCTAGTTTACAGAGGATTAGAGGAACAACCTGATTTATCACCCCACCTTTGCAAAAAATGATACCCAATTTTACTTGTAATCACATTAGTTCCTACTTACAAAGGGTTCTGATTCTCTGGAATGTCGATACCCACTTCAGTGTGTTCTCAAACGTGTTTCACTTGAGAAACTTCCTTCTGTTAGCCCCTCACTTACCTTGAAATCCTGTGGAGTTTTATATACCTGGCCTATTTCATTAAAATTGTTCTCCTTAATATTATCAATGACTCCTTGCTAAAAACAGCGTCCTCTTAATCATTCTTGGCTCATACACTTCTTAAAAATATCTTTTGCTTTATGTAACAGCGCATGTTTTCCTGTGCTTCCTAATTTTACTTAGGAATATCTAAAAAATTAAAAATTGATACCAGATGAAAACAAAGTTGCTTTTCATTATTCTATAAAATAGTCACTGAGTTAACAATTGAGATCTTTACCAAACTTTGGAAAATTCTACAAAGTAATTTTTAGAAATTAGATGAGATCACATACCTATGATTTTGCCTCCTTTTTCATTTACTGTCTTACAACTATTTTCATTTTGATTAATGCATGGAGAGCTGCAATTCTCCTCATACAATATTTCATTCTATGAATATGACGTAATTATCCAGCCATTCTTTCCCTGATGTACATTCAAGTTTCTAATTTACAAAGTACTGCAGTGACTACTCAATATCTGGGTCAGGAAGATCCCTTGGAGAAGGGAATGGCTCCCTACTCCAGTATTCTTGCCTGGAAAATTCCATGGGCAGAAGGGCCTGGCAGGCTACAGTTCACTGGGCCCTAGAGAGTTGGCCAACACTGAGCGACTGAGCAGGCACAAATAATTCACTTCGGTTTTCAAAGTCCCTCATATCTGTAATATGGTCCCCTTGTTCCTGTTTTCTTTCCTTTTCTTCCTCAGATTTGCTATTTGTTCTTTTCAAACACCAGCTACTATTATGATCAATTTGTTTCATTAATTTCTGCTTTTATCTTTAATTCCTTTTAAGTTTATTTTGGGAGATTTTACTTTTTTGGCTTCTGTTTCCTTTCCTGATTCTTTCCACCGAATGTATATCCTTTAAGAATGTGCTGCCTTATTCCCTCAGTGTGTTTACCCATACAACAGAGCAAAAACAAAAGCCTTTACGATTATTATAATGTGGCTACAAACACTGTATTCATTTGGAGTCAGTCATAGTGGGTTCTAACTCCCTACCACCTAGCTATGTGATCTTGGCCAAATCTTGGTTTCTTCACCTGTAAAAATAGAAATAATAATACAGATTAAGTTTAAGACTATTTACAAATCATTTAGCATTAGAACTGGCCCATATTACTAACTCAATAGATATCTGATAAGACAAAAGGCCTTAGTTACCCCATTTACAAAAATGAGAGAACTAGGCTGACTAATCTCAAATTCTCTAACAACTGAAAAATTTTCTTTTTTTTTTTTTTTTGGCTTCGCTGAGCAGCAAGTAGGATCTTAGTCCCTCAACCAGGGTTCAAACTGGTACCGTCTGCAGGGCGAGTGCAGAATCTTAACCACTGGACTGTTAGGGAAGTCCCTGAAAAAAAATTTATTTTCAATCTACTAGTTCATTTATCAGACAATCAACCAAATATCAACCCACTCACTCACCCAAACAACAGTTAGAAAGCAAGTCCCTTGAACTAGGCATTCTAGATGTTAGGAATGCCATGATGAACTAATGATATAGTTCTTACCTGCCAGGTCAGAGTACCTAGAGGGTAGGAGTGAGCACCAACTGTTAACCAATGGGATACCTGGTCTAATAAAGGCTGTGGGAATTCAGAGACGTTGAGGAGGATGCACAGCAAAATCAAGACTTGGGTTGGACACCACAGGCGGGGACTCATTACTTACTAGCTGTGTGTGCTGTGCTGCGCTCAGGGGCTCGGTCAGTCCGACTTTTTGTGGCCCGTGGACTGTAGCCCGCCAGGCTCCTCTGTGCACAGGATTCTCCAGGAAAGCATACTGGGGTGGGTTGCCATGCCCTCCTCCAGGGGATCTTCCCAACCCAGGGATCAAACCCAGGTCTCCCGCACTGCAGGCGGATTCTTTACTATCTGAGCCTGTGTACCCTCAAAAATTAACTATGGCATTAAAGTTCTCTATCTGTAGAAAGGAACAGGAATACCCAACCTGGTAGGGTATATTAAAGGTTAAACAACACATCATAGGAACTCAAGGAATGGAGGTTATTATTATCACAAGAGGCAATGAAAGGTAAAGAAAGGCATTTACTGTATTTCAAGAGAGAAAAGGCAGGGTCAGGGGAATTTCCCAATTGTGTTCACAAAACAAAACCTGTGGCAAGGCAGTTAAGGATGGGGAAAGAAAAAAAAAAAAACACGGTATGAGGAGAATCAAAATGTGTGATGCCCTTGGAGGACAGAGAATTCTAATTTCTGTATTTTCAGATGCTAGCACAACACCTGACCCATGTTTGCTATAAACACGAATGGAAGAACACACGTTAAGAAACTGGACTGCAGAGAAAGATCTGGGCCAAACTGTTCAAAGAAACCATTTTACAGTGAAACGAAATCTGGGGAATCAGGAGATCTGGTGCAGTCTTTTGACTAATGACCTCTCTTTTCACACTGGCTTTGCAACTTACCTGCTATATGGCCTTAACAAATTACTTATACCTTGAATCTCCTCATCTGTAAAACGGGGATAACACCTACCTTACAAAATTATTAGTGTGAGAAATAGTACCGAGCGATTATCAAAGAGGCTGGCAGTGGGCACACTCAGTAATACGACAGCGCTGCAGCCGCTTAACTTCTCCATTAGGTCTTTTGTCCGTACTTATGACAGGGTAAGAATATATTTTCTCCAACGCTCCAACCGGCACCGAAAAAGGACACTAGGTTTCCAGAGGATGTAAGGCCCCGCCCGGTTCGCGGCACACATTCGGGTCACGGACGCCGACTGCAGTCCCGGAGCCTCCCCACCTGCGTCGCCGAGCCCTGGCGGGCGCAACCGATGCTAGACCGTTATAGAGACGGGGCCGAGACAGGCTGGACGTGAGGCCCAGCGCCATTTCACCGAAACCCGTTCCACACCACCATGTCTAGAAGGGACGCCTCGAAAAAAAATAAAGAGCACTTTAAAAAAAAAGAAAGGGCAAGGAAACAGGAAGTGACGCACAGCAGCGAGGAACCGGAAATGACCGCATCACGCCGGAAGTTTACCCGTTTCCAGGGCGCCGGTTCCGCTCCCCCCCACCCCATCTCCAACCTGGTAGCAGGTGTCGGGACGCTGGAAAGCGACTCGGTGGAGCAGGTGCTCGCCGACGGCGGCCGCCGCCACAGCGAGTCGCGCCGAGTAGCAACCGAAGACGGCGGCCGCCGCACCAGCCAGCGCGTGTGGAGGATAAAGGGCCGGCACGGCCGTCGCGGTGATCCGTCCAGGGAAAGAGTGAGCGAGGGCCAGGGCTTTCGTCTTAGCGAAGACAGAGAAAGAATCCGCGAGGAGAGCGACCGCCGGTGCCGGGTACCGACGGAAAGAGGAAGCGAAGACGTCGGCTTCTCCCGCGATGACTCGAGAAGGGTCAGCGAAGACCTGGACCACGGCCGCAGCGTCTCTGAGGGAAGAGTCAGGGGAGACGGCAGCCACCGTCTCGGCAACTCTTGGGAGAGACTGAGGGGAGGCCTCAGCAACGACGCGAGCTTCAGTGAAGTCGGAAGCCACCTGACTAGTGACTCCTCGGGATCTATCAGAGACGACCGCGGCCTCCGCCTCAGCGGGACTTGGGAGGAAGTCCGGGAGGTCCGGGGCCCCCGAGCCACCGACTCGGGTGAGAGGGACAGTGACGACCTCCGCCGCCGCCTCAGTGGCTCTTGGGAGGGCGCGAGTGTGGATGGCGGCCGCAGTCTCAGCAGTTCCTGGGAAGGGGTGAGTGAAGACCGCGGCTACTTGGCCAGCGACTCCTCCGCGGTGAGCGTCAGCGAAGACGCCAGCCGCCGCCGCTTCTGGGAGAGGGAAAGTGAGGACGAAGGTTCCCGCTGCCGGACCTCCTGGGGGAGGACGACGGAGGACGGCGGCCCCGGGCCTAGTGACGACGAGGTAGACAGCCGCTGCTGCAGTGGCTCGTGGGTGACAGCGAGTGAAGACCGCCGCAGTAGCGGGGGCCTGGACTCGACGCCCCCCCAGAGTCCGAGTCGCCGCACCATGCCCGGGGTGTCCGATTCAGGCCCGTCCACCTCCTCCACGGAGACTGCGACCCAGTGTGAGTCGGATCGCTTCGCTGGCCCTTGTCTCTCTGCCACACTCCACTTTTCTCACTCCAGCCCTTTCTTGGCATTTCCCTTTCTCACCTGTCACTCATCTCTTTTCCCTTAATTGACCTATTTACAGTGGGTCCCAAAGCTCATCTGGTCATCTGGCCCCCCTCCTTCCTCATTTCAGCTTTCCTTATTCTCTTTTTTTGGCGCCTATCTGCGCCCATTCCTGAGACTTCGTTCCTAGGTGATAGCAACTCTTGTTAAAATTTATGGACCCTTTTAAGTTCTTGGCGTCTCTGCGGCATTTGACTCTGTGTAAATAGTATTTGTTTGTTATTTAGTCGCTAAGTCATGTCAGACACTTTGCGACCCCGTGGACTGTAGCCTGCCAGGCTCCTCTGCCCATGGGATTTCCCAGGTAAGAACTCTGGAGTTGGTAGCCATTTCCCTTCTCCAAGGGATCTTCCCGAAGCAGGTTACTGAACTCGCGTCTCCTGCATTGGCCAGGAGGGTTCCATGGAAGCCCTGGAGATACTAGACTCACCTAATTTTCTTCCTTCCACTTTCCTGACTCTCCCTGTCTGTCTAGCTAGCTAGCTATCCACCCATCCATCCTTCCATCCTGACTTTTCTTCTATCCTCTCCTTAAATGTTGCTTTTTAAATTTTTCTTGGATAGTGCCATCACTGATGCTTTTTTCCTTGTTATGTACTATGACTTCAACCCTATTGAGGACCTCTGAATCTGTTATTCATTCAGTCATCCAGTAAATATTTATTGTCTACTATGTGCTTTTTCTTAAGGATATGTGAGCAAGGAAGACAAACACATTCCTTCCTCCTACTGGGGAAGATAAATACTGAGCAAGTAATTACTAGTGTGATGAATGTTACAAGGAAGAGTAGAGGGCCCCTGGCTCCAGTGTGGGGTGAGGTTGGGGATCAGAGAAAGCTTCCTACTACTGAGACACAGTTAACCCTGAGAGCTCAGCTCAAGACCTCTCCTTGGAGCTGCAGACTTCCATGTACAGCTCCCATGTGGAACTCTTCCTTGGGTGCCTCAAGATCAACACATTCAAAATATGATTTTATATCATTATGTCCTCTCTGTCCTTTAGTGTTGTTTGTCTCTGTTAGTATATAGTGGCACTATACCACTTGTGTAACTTAGTCACACACCTTGGAGTTGTCCTGTTACTTTTCCCTTATTTCACACACCAAATCCCTCCAAGTTCATTTCATCCTGTTTGTGTAATATATGTTGGATCTGTTTCCTTTTCTGTTCTTACTGCCATTCTCTTAGTTGAGGGTCTCGACCTCTCTGGTGAAGACTCCTGTAGATATCTTCCCACATGGTCTCCTTGAGTCTCTACTCTTGCCCTTTTGCTCCCCAGTCCATTAATTCCCCTCACTGCAGCCAGCGTTACACATCTGATCATTCTTATTCCTCTACTTAAAATCCTTTAATGATTCCTCGCTATCTGTTCAAGTCCAACAAGTTCCAGCACAGCCTGCCTCTCGTCTAATTCTAGCCTCTTTTCCTTTCAACCTTATGCTTCCACAGTAGGGTGAGTATTTTTATAGTTTCTTGAACTGTCCAGGATGCCTTTCCCTGCATGCATTTCACCTGGCAAAGTCCTGCTAACCCTTGAAGATTCATCTCAGGTGTTACCTCTTCTAGGAACCCTTTTCTGCTCTCCTTCCCTCCTACCCTAGCTGAGTTAGAAGTCTTTTGCTTCCATAAGTTCTTAGGAATATTTCTGTTGTTGCTCTTACTACATTGTTTTATAATTTGTATTTGTATATCTCTGTGAGTTCCTTGAGGATAGAGACCATGTCTTTTTAATCTTTTTATACTTATGATAGATACCAGATTAATGTTGAGTGGATGGATGAGTGGATGAATGAATAAACTGGAATGGCATGTGGTGAGAAAAAAGGTTGTGAAATTAGATGGAGGCAAGTTATGGGAGGGCTTCCCAGGTGGTGCTAGTGGTAAAGAACCTACCTGCCAATGCAGGAGACATAATGAGACACGGGTTGGATCCCTGAGACACAGGAAGATCCCCTGCAGGAGAGCATGAAAACCTGCTCCAGTATTCTTGCCTGGATAATCCCATGGACAGAGGAGCTTGGAGGGCTACAGCCATAGAGTCACAAAGTCAGACACAACTGAAGCAATTTAGCACTCTGTAAGTTATGGGAGGGCATAGACCGTCATACTGAGAGTCTCCAGATGAGCCTTGGATAACCAGAAGCAGTTTGGAGTGTGGAGGCATGAAGTGATCAAGATAGCGTCCATGCGTCCTTGGATTAGAGTGTTCCTGTATAAAATGGATTAAAATGGGTAGAATGTCATTTGTAGATCTTGCAGTACTTGTTCAAAGGAGAATAATGGAGATTTCGCTGGTGATCCAGTGGTTAAGGCTCTGCACTTTCACTGCAGGGGGCGTGAATTCAGTCCCTGGTCAGGGAACTAATGCCCCACTGCTTATCTGGAGAACCAAATACAAACCCTTATGCCAAAGTTTAAAAAAAAATAAAGGAGAATAATGAAGGTCTGACCTAGGGGGATTAACATCATTAAACATTTACCAAGTAGTTTGTTTTTTTGTGGGGTGCTTCCTTATTCCCTTGCCCGGATACATATATCTCAGTTGTTCTTCAGAGACTTGCTCCACTGTTGCCTCCTCTTCCTCCTTTATTTCACCTGTACTCTTAGGATGTTACTGTCAGGTTTTTTATTGTGTCGAATATTTATTGTGTCGAATATTTATTGTGTCGAATATTTATTTATCCCAGTAGTTTTAAAAGCGTCTGTGGAAAGAAAATGTCTAAAATCCATGTCTGTTCATTGCATTATCATAGTGCCTGGCATATGGTAGATGCTCAGAAAGGATTTTTGAGCAAAATGCATAGCATTTTGTTAACAGTTTGGTATAAGAAATGATTTCAGCTGTCAACTGATTTGAACTATTTACTTCCTTCTCCAACTACTGTCTGTTCATGCTTAGATACTTTTGGTGCTTCTGGTTCACAATGCACGTTAAGATACTTCATGGAACAGTAGGGCTGTCAATGCAGTCTTGATGTTTGGAACATAAAATTATAAAATATGTCACTTCGTGTATGAAGTAAAAGTTGTGACTTGCCATCCCTTTCTTAGTGTAGGATATATGAGAAAGATATGAAAAACATTGATAAGATGTATCTGCCCCTGTGAGATAAGGTTCTGGTTAAGTCTTTTCCACTGGAGAAGAGGCCTTTGTTACAGAGAATAGCTGGGCAGGTTTCCAGATGGTCACCTCTCTCTACCAAAGACATGAAGCGAGTTTTTTTGTTTGTTTTTCACAGTAATAACCTGGTGGAGTTTGGAAGCTAAAATCTTTGAAAATGAGGGGGCCTTGTAAGACTATGGCCCTGAGGAGTTTCTCACTTAGGCTAGTACATACCCAGCCCCCAACAGTTTGTCAAAATTATCACTTGAGTGCTTCAGGAAGTTTGTGGTTCCAGTGGCTTCTGCTCCAGGTGAGCTGAACTTGACCACGTTTTTCTTGACCTTTCTCTCCAAATTTAGGGTGGCTGTTTGCCCTGAGACCTGACTTCTGATAAGTCTAAGAAAAGTTGTTGATTTTCAGTTTGTTCAGCTTTTTTCCTGTATGAATGTAGGTGATGACTTCTGTGCTCTTTACATATTAGAGCCGAAAGTGAAGTCTGATTAAGATGTTGTTCATGAGTATCTTTGTAGTAAATTATTTGGAAAGCCAAAGTGATTTTGTACTTTCAGTTCAATTGTTGCTTTAGTCTTTTTTTTATCTTAAATTTATTTTTTAACTGGAGGATAATTGCTTTACAATGTTGTGATGGTTTCTGCTGAACAACGATGCGAATGAGTCAGACTTCTATTTATGTATATACCCCTACCTCTTAAACCTCCCTCCCCGCTCCAGGTTGGCACAAAACGCCAGGCTGGGTTCCCTGTGTTATATAGCAGCTTTCCACTAGTTACCTACTCTATGCATGATAGATTACATATGTCAATGCTTTCGTCTTTTTTTAGGTTTGCAATATATTTTAAGCAATTTGGTTTTTCAGTAGGTGCCAGGAAGAAAGTGCATTTTGGTAGCATACACGATGCAGTACGTGCCGGAGATGTAAAGCAACTTTCAGAAATCGTACGACGTGGTGCCAGCGTTAACGAAGTTGATGTTCTCCATAAATTTACCCCTTTACATTGGGCAGCACACTCTGGCAGTTTGGAGGTAAGAAACTATAAATTATTAAACTGGGTACGTTTGGAGCTGTTAGCGGCTTTGTAAATTTAGCATACAGGACTGAGGCCTTATGCTGGGCACCACAAATGTTTTTCTTTTTTTAAATTTTATTGAAGCATAGTTGATTTACAGTGTTAATTTCTGCTGCTTAGCAGAGTGATTTAGTTACACATATATATATACAAATAGTTTTCTTTTCAATTCACTGTAACATTTGGGTGTTCTTTTTAGCTTTGTAATAAATTGTATCCTAAAACTTAGTGGCATAAAATAAGCATTTATTCATGCTTAGGAGTGAAGCAGGAATTTGGATGTTAGGGACATCTTTTCTCTGCTCTGTGATGTTGGGGGCTCCAGCGAGAGGATTTAAAAGCTAGGGCTGGAATCTTCCGAAGGCTTGATCACACAGACATCTGGTAATAGAGGCTGGCTGTGGGGCCTGGCCATCTGGATTCCTGTCCACGCAGGCTTTTTGTGAGGTTGCCACATGTGGACTAGGTTGTGATTCCTTTCAGTGTGGTGGCTGGATTCCAAAAGCAGCATAGAGGGTGGCTTGCAGAGGATAACATAATGCATACGTAGGTCCATCAAATCCTGATATTTTTGCCGTAATTGCTTCAGATTTTTGGAAAAGAAATGGAATATCACAGATGCATTGGAAGTCCCTGAGTGCCCCTCCCAGGTGTCGTTTCTCTTCTTCCAACTCCAGAGATAACTGTTGCTCTGAATTTGGTATTTATTATTACCATCTATGTTTTATGCTGTTATTACATATGATTAGATCATGGTTTTAAATGACGTTTTATATTTAAATAACGTCATATTATTTGGACCATTCTGCAGCTTGCTTTTTTTTTTGTTCAACAATGTATTTTTGACTTAATGATTTGGTTACATGTATGTACTCTGCTGCTGGTGCTGCTGCTAAATTGCTTCAGTCCTGTCCGACTCTGTTTCGACCCCATAGACGGCAGCCCAGCAGGCTCCCCTGTCCCTGGAATTCTCCAGACTAGAATACTGGAGTGGGTTGCCATGTCCTTCTCCCTATATGTACTCTAGTACATTTCTTTTTTTTTTTTTCCTTTTCTAGTTCATTTCTTTAAGCCATGTTGTAGTAGTCTATTCTTAGGTAAACATCGGAATTTATTCATTTTTTGATTGATGGATATTTCATTGGTTTTAGGTTTTCAATAGTACAAGCAGTGCTTAGTGAATATTTTAATGCATAAATTCCTTTTTTTATTGATTTATTTTATCGAGGTTTAGGTGATTTGCAATGTATTCATTTCTGCTGTACAACAGTGATTCAGTTATGCATGTCTATATACATTCTTTTCCATTATGGTTTATCACAGGATATTGCACATAGTCCCCAGGCTATACAGTAGGACCTTGTTGTTTATCCATTCTAAATGTGATAGTCTGCATAGTTAGTCCCCAGCTCCCAGTCCTTCCCCCCACCCCGCCCCTCTTGGCAGCGGTAAGTCTGTTCTCTGTGTCTGTGCGTCTGTGTCTGTTTCATGTGCTGTGCGCTTAGTTGCTCAGTCGTGTCCGACTTTTTGTGACCCCATGGACTGTAGCCCACCAAGCCCCTCTGTCCATGGGGATTCTCCAGGCAAGAGTACTGGAGTGGGTTGCCATGCCCTCCTCCAGGGGATCTCCCCAACCCCGGGATTGAACCCAGGTCTCCCACATTGCAGGTGGATTCTATTTCATAGATAAGTTTATTTGTATGCACAACTTTTTATTTTTGGGCTGTGTACAAAGCCAACTGGAATTTTTCTCATGATTTTCATGATTGTGTGTGGGGAGCTTATTTTAGCTATTACATTTCCCTCTTTCCTGTAGGCTGCACTATGCATTTCTCTTTTTTCACCTGCCAGCCACAGTCTGCTTTCTATGAATATGGAGTCTCTGTGTGATTTCCTGTTTGTTTGGGCTTTTCTGCTTCTTGGAACCAAATCTGGTCCAAAGAATCTCTCTCCACCAGTTTGTGTGCCCCACTTGAACTGTGGAGATGTCTCCTTTGACCTTTTAGTGGCTCCCTCTCACCTGGGAGGAATGTGCCTGATGGCTGTTTCTGTGCCTGCAGCCCTGAGTGGGGATTTTCTCTGCTGTTTCCTCCCACATCCCTGATTGATCTAAACTTCGGCAGCTTTCTCATCTGTTTTGTGGTTTCAGATGTCTCTTAGCTTCATCAACAGTGGGATTTTCCTGCCTTTTTTTAAAAAATGATTTTGAAGAGGAGAGGAAGTACTGATTTTAGTTTGCCAAATTAGTGGTTTTCTTTATGCCCTGCCAATGGACTTCTCCTATGTTACACTCTCTCTCCAGGCCATTTTTAGACTTCCTTGTCTTAATCGCTTCTGTATAATTATTCACAGAATTGTTTTCTCTCCAGAATTTGAATTCTGGTTTCTGCATACAGTGCTTATCAGCAGCTCATGCATACCTGACTGGCATCTCAAATTCAGTTGGTCTAAAACTAAACCATTATTCTTTTCACTCCCTTCCTTAGCTTTCCAGGCTAATGTCCTTTGCATCATTATTGAGTTGTCTCAGGGTTTTCCAGAAGCAAACTGCAGTATCAGCATTTGTCTGGATGAAGTGCTTCATGGTGCATATTAATGTAGTGAGGAGTGATCACGAAGTTTGTTGATTGTCTTCCATCTCTGACTCTCAGAATTGTCCTCTCCACCTTCACAGCCTTAGAGCTACTTGATTTCCTTCTTTCCTGGATCATCTACCCCTAGTTAAAACTGGCACACAAGATCACTGTTCTGAAACAAAAGCAGTAACCCTTCCTTAGAGTGAGCGTGCAAGTGTTAGTCACTCAGTCATGTCCGACTCTTTGACCCCGTGGACTGTAGCCTACCAGGCTCTTCTGTCCATGGAATTCTCCAGACAAGAACACTGGAGTGGGTTGCCATTTCCTTCTCCAGAAAACCTTCCTTAAGTCTGTGTAGTGACTCTGTTCTCTGTAGGATAAAGTTTGAGCTGTTTAGTACGGTAGACTACCTCTCCAACCTCAACTCCTGTCAGACTTGTTTCATGCTCCAGTGCAGGTGACTGTCATTTCCCAAACTAGTCTACTGTTTCCTATTATCGTAGCCCGTGTACGAGCTATTTCATTTGCCTGGTCTCACCTCTTCCCAGTTGAAATCCAGCTCAAGTAGCATCTACTTGGCAGAGCCTTCTGTGTTTCCCCCCTCAGTATCATCCAACTAGCAACTTTTCCCTCAAGTTTATACACATTTGAAAAATTCTGTTTATCACATTGAATTGTATTCTCTGTTAGATTTTGAACGTCTTTGAAGGTACCTTTTTTCCATTTGAGTTTTATTTATCTTTTTTCCTCAGCATCTAGTATAGTGTCTGGCATCTTGGAGTCACATTGTGGATTTCCAGTAAATGTTTGTCATATTGCTGAGTTTGTTGAGTTAAATTTATATTTTTAGTATCTAGCACAGTGTATAGCAGTTGTTCAAGAAATGTTTGTTGAATTTTAATCAAATTGAATCTAAATAAAGAAGTTTTGGTGCATTTCTCTGTTGCCATTTAAGATCGTCTCCTAGTTCTCTACTTTTTTTTCCCCATTTATTTTTATTAGTTGGAGGCTAATTACTTTACACTACTTCTCTACTTTAGTGTTGCACTAATACCTTTACATTTTGTTATCCTTTTTGAGATTCCTTAAGACTTGTGGGACTTAACGTTGGTAGTATAAAATGACAACTAAATTAATGACTGGTGAAAACTGTGCTTTATTAGACTTCATTTTTTGTCTTCTCTCAGATGAAACCAGCTTTTCAGCCCCTGTAGTTCAGTTCAGCCCTCAGTTGTGTCTGACTCTCTGCGACCCCATGGACTGCAGCATGCCAGGCCTCCCTGTCCATCACCACCTCCCGGAGCTTACTCAAACTCATGTCCATTGAGTCAGTGATGCCATCCAACCAACTCATCCCTCTGTCGTCCTCTTCTGCTCCCGCCTTCAGTCTTTTCCAGCATCAGGGTCTTTTCAAATGAATCAGCTCTTCACATCAGGTGGCCAAAATATTGGAGTTTCAGCTGCAGCATCAGTCCTTCCAATGAATATTCAGGACTGATTTCCTTTAGGATGGACTGGCTGGATCTCCTTGCAACCCAAGGAACTCTCAAGAGTCTTCTCCAACACCACAGTTTGAAAGCATCAGTTCTGTGGCACTCAGCTTTCTTTAAAAGGTCCAACTCTCACATCCATACATGACTACTGGAAAAACCATGGCCTTGACTAGATGGACCTTTGTGGGCAAAGTAATGTCTCTGCTTTTTAATACACTGTCTAGGTTGGTCATAGGTTTTCTCCCAAGGAGCCAAGTGTCTTTTAATTTCATGGCTGCAGTCACCATCTGCAGTGATTTTCCACTGTTTCTCCATCTATTTGCCATGAAGTGTTGGGACTGGATGCCATGATCTTAGTTTTCTGAATGCTGAGTTTTAAACAAGTTTTTTCACTCTCTTGTTTCACTTTCATCAAGAGACTCTTTAGTTCTTCACTTTCTGCCATAAAGTAAACTTTTATTTCAGATATATTTTGCACCTTCAGAATTTTCTTTTTTTTTAAAAAAAATCTCTCTTTCTATTTGATGAATCATTGTCATCATGCTTTTAATTCATTAAACATAAATTCTTAAAAAAATAATTTCTTTTCATTCTCTGAAGCTATTATAGGTTTGAAGTCTAAGTTGAGCATCTGTATCCTCTCAGAGATAGTTTCTATTGACCTCATTTTCCTGTGTGTATATTACACATTTTTGTTTTTTAATTAGGTCCCATTTGTTTATTTTTGCTCTTATTTCTATTCCCTTGGGAGACTGACCTAAGATAAGAAAACGTTGGTACGACTGATGTCATAGAATGTTTTACCTATGTTCTCTTCTAGCAGTTTTATGGTGTCGTATCTTATTTTTTTAAGTCTTTAAGTCGTTTTGAGTTTATTTTTGTGTATG